CGTCCCCGTTTTATATTCTGATTTGATCGTCCCTACCTCTGGCAACGGCGAACGGACAATGTGTACTGCTTGCCCGCCCCCCCTCCCCTCCCCCTCCCCTCCCCGTCCCGCCCGGGGGCCGGGGGCCGGGGGCTGGGGGTAGCGCGTAGCAGCAGAGAGAGACGATGATCGGTGCACAGCCACCAGCCACGTCACCGCACTGGCAGGGCCGTGGTCGGAGCACTCTGTTGTCAGCCGGCTCGCCGGATTGAGAGACGGGCTTGAGGCCGAAGAGACCGGTACGTTTCCACTGTGGGCCGCTGCGAGGGGCAGGGCCTGGGGCTGGGGCAGGGGCTGGCTCTGGCTCTGGCCCTGGCCCGGGGCTGCTTTAACTCGTCGTCTGAAAGAAGATGGCCGGTGGGTAAGTCCGGGGGTAAATTGGGCCGAATTTTTGTTGTGAAATGTCAACCTTGGAGAAGACTACAGGCCAGGGGAGGGGAGGGGGATGGATAGAAAGGAAGAAACCCCAGACGGATGGCTGAGAAATTGGTGGGAATTCCGTGGAATAGGAGAGATGTTACATATAGGAAGGAAGGAAGGAAGGAAGGGGGGTGGGGGTGGTGGTGGCGGTGGATGCAATCTCGAGCTGCGCGCTTCTGGGAATTTCCAGGTGTCGCCACGGCGGCCCGCCACCGCAGGGGCCTGGTCGGGAAAAGCGAGGCTCTTTTCTGGTGCAGTTGCTGGACTGTACTCGGTCATTTCGAGCTCCCCCCTCGCGCTGCTATTTCTGTTCCCTTGCGCTCGCTCGTACTTGCATTACATTTCCTTCTCCTGCCACTTCCAGCTCGATCTACTTACCACTCCATCGCTCCCTCCATGTCTCACTTCTACCACCGGCCCAGCTTCATATGTCCACACCTTCCTTCCTTCCTTCATTCCGAGGAGAAAGAGAAAGAGAAGTCGCTCCGGTCCGCAAGCCCGAGGCCACACGCTGCAACTCTTCCTTCTGCCTTTAATGATTCTGATTCTCGTGCAACCGTCGTCTCCAACTCTGACCTCTCCCTCGTCCTCCTCGAGGCTCAAGGTGCATCTTACAGACTGCGTGCGTGCTGGTACCTTGGGTGAAAGGGGCGATGCATGGCCAGACCATCCGGCAGGACCAGAAGAAGGCACCGAGAAGGAATGAGGAGCGAGCAAGTCCGCATCATCAATGATGGGAGTGCCCCCTTCAAATCCTAGGAGAGGAAGAGTTCCCGTCACAATGTGAAATGCTCTCCATTGCAAGTTAAATATCAAACTATTGACGTAAAAAAGTGTAAGAATATCTTATAACGTGATTTCATACTAGATATAAACACAAAAGAGAAAGTGAACGCTAGTAATCACACAGTTTAGGTTAATTTTCACTCACCCTAGGTTAACCTCCCATGCTGCACTACTTCTCCCACTTTCCCTGTGCCGTGAAAATTATATTATAGATCTCTAGTAAACATAGTGATAGTTTTGACCAATCATAGAGTTCTGTTCTGTATAGTATAGTAGTGTGAGTGATAACTAGCCCCTCCCACCATAAAATGTATACATGATACCAAAAAAGACTTTACACAATGTTTTATATAAATATTTACTTTTGCAATGTAATCCAATATTGAAAATTTTCTCAAAAATTTCTGTTAAGATAGATCTTTTTTAATTAAATTTTACACGAACGATAATGATGAAATTTATCTTATACATGAATCCATACTTAAGCTATTGATAATCTATCATATGAAAAATTTATTAATCATGATCTCTCAAATCAAATCATATGAGCTGAATGGATTTTATACATAGAAAAACCAAGACCGTATTATAAAAATCTATATGTATATATTTATATAAGAACATCACTCTGGACTCTTCTCTATACTTTGAAAAGTCCATCAGAGTGACTCATGTCAGATTCAATGCAATACTACAGTATTCACTTGTGAATGTAGTACTGCGTGAAGTGAATTACGAATGTCCAACCCAAGATAGTGCGAAGTCAAGTCATGAACGTACAAGTGACTCTACCAGCGTAAATCTCTCATTACAAAGGACAGTGTTCTAGCCCCCTAGACCCACGCAAGGAGTTGTTATCAAACCCAGAACCCCCAGCGCTGGGGGGAGAAGAGGAAAAACGTGGGGGCTTAGATGGACTCGGAGAGACAGCCCCCTCCCGAGTGAACTAGACTGAGTGTCCCCTCAACTGCACGGACGATGCGTAAGGCAATTACAATTACAGCGAGAGGCTCTTGGCGCTTATCTGATTCCACGGATCTGCACGCAGAGCCTAGGGGCGAGCTCGAGGACGCTGCAAGAGGATTTTCGGAAAAGGCAAATCGAGGGGGGAGAAAAGGAAAAGTGATCATGAGGAGGAGAGATCAGAAAAGTGAACTCTGAATATCGGCGTCGAGGGTTTAATTACTCCGTCCGCCCGCCGGTGACATCACCAGGACGAGTGAAACCGGGTAAAGTGATGCCTTGATAGGAAAAGGTGGCGAGCCATGGGTACCCATGTTCATTAATGGCGCAAAATGGGATTGGAGATAGATCCTTGGGACCCATGCCCGTAATAAATCATACTTTCAGTAGTACCACTGCTGTTCTGCTGCTGCTGCTGCTACTACTACTACTACTACTACGACCACAACTGCGCTCAGGTGGCATGTTTACATGTTCATAAGCTTGGGGTGAAGGGAAGGTGCTTGTCTTAAGGCCATGAATGTTGTCGAGATGAAGCACCTTCTCTTGGGTTGCGACGATGGAGTTTGGATCTGAGCTCGAGGTTTTATTGGGCCAGACACCGTTGTGCACATTCTCCCACAATGTACAGTGCACTCCTCGGGAACGCTGTTGGGCTGGGCTGGGCTGGGCTACAGTGAGAAGGAACGTGCAGGAGAGAGAGCCCCAGGTTGCCACCCTTTAAATTGTGGCCTTATCGCAACCTTCTCTCGCCGAGCATTTGCTGAAGAAACCAAATCCTGGGCCCTTCCTTTCGTATGTGCTTGCCTGCCTATATCGGGCCCTATACCAAGGCCTCGAACCAGCCGTGCACTAACTTGTCACGCAGTTATAATTGGCATCCTCTTTAATTTCTTTTGGCACGGCCTTTACCCCGATAGACACCAAGCAAAGTGTCACAGCCGAGAGGATCACGCATTGAGTTTCAGAAGCTCAATCGATTGCTTGTTCGGCAGCTCTAGAGGGTCCGAATCAGGAGCAGACTAATTAGGGGGCAAACTATTCCATAATGGGGATCCACGATCAGGGGGCAAACTAATCCATTCTACTTCACCTCAACTCTTGCAGGCTCGGTCCCATCAGCTCATCTAGTTTCTCCGAAGTTAGAGAAGCCCGGAAGTGTCCGCATTCGACGAAGCAGCCTCTGCCGAACTGTGACAAAGCTCGAATACCAGAGTTCGGGTCTGCATGATCTCCCATCTGACTGGCGCCAGCCAGCCAGCCAATCTCTAGCCCAAAATTTGAAGCTCTTTCCCTGCAGCCGGATGCTGGAAGGCAGGCGGTCCAGTCCAGTCCATTCCGCTCCCTTCTCACTTCACCCAGTTCCAGCAGCCCCCTAGGCACTGGGGTTTCCGATTGGCGCTAGATAATGCTCCGACCTACACGCTTTTCTCTTGTTTTCTCCGCGCTCTCGTGTTACAGTTACAGTACTGGATTCGAAAGGGATAAAAAGGGAAAATTGATTTTACAAAGCACGGTATAAACCGTAAGTTTTACTGGCTCGCCGTGCATATAACCGTGGTGCCTGCGAGTCCTCGATCCTGATCCATACTCGTCCATGATGACGACAGGCATGACGCAGGACCAGCTGAAGATTAACTCGGTGCTGAGTCTCGGACTTAAAACCCTTAAGCCACATCGATTCGGTCAGATGCAGCTTTTGGAAGGGTGACGATACATGACCCATCGTCCTATCCCTCGCATACCATCCGAGCTCCAGAGCAACCTGGTACCGACAGCTGCGAGCGCGGGTCTCAGTGGACAGACGTCACCAAGTCCAGTTCGCTGGTGTGTGAATGATGATCCGAGATTTTGCTCTTCTTAGCCTCGGGAGAGAAGGAAGTTGGAGGCAGAGGTAGGAGAGCTGTGAAATATAATAACCGCCTACATTACGCGCACTGTGTTGGAAAAGCTCGGAATGTCAGCCGGATCTAGCTCAGGTCCTAAGCGTAGACGGGCCTAGGCCCCCGGCCTAGCTCGGTGGAAGAAAGGTCTTGAGGCTACAATGGACAGGACACCAGGAGACTGGAGGCCCAAATTATGCTACGTTGAGTCTAAGGCAGGGCTAAGAGTGTGGTCTAGAGGACAGGACAGGAGAATAGAGTGGTGCGTAGTGGAGGCAGCTCAGCTCGGTGTCATGTGAACTCATCAAGAGACTCATGGCATTGGCCTCATGGATGGCGTTCGCCACCGATGGACGAACGAAGGAACAAGTGGCGTGGAGTTAGTTACTGGGGCTGTACCGGCGAGAGGAGAGTGGAGTGTGGAGTCGAGAAAGCGTTGTGTAAAGAAACGAAGGGGGAGGTAAAGGAAGAGAAGGCGAAGTGGCGAAGTGGCAAAGAGGAGGGAGCCACAGCCCGGTGCCCCCCCACCCCCAAGCCCAAGCCCAAGCCCCCAAATCCAGCGGACAGCAGCGGGACGAACGGCAGACGGCGGACGAACGGCAACGCTGTCGCCCTCCTCCAGCTAGCTAGCTAGCTCTTCACCTGCTGGGGGCTGGGGGCTGGGGCTGGGGTTGGGCCTGGGTTGCGCCGGGGGTTGGCCGGGGCTTCGTTGGGACAGTTATGCAGCGAAGGAGTAAGTAAGCGAGTAAGCAAGCAAGGGCTTATGGTCAGTGTGCGTTGTCATAGGCCCGGACAGCTATGCCCGGCTCACGACAGTTTCACGGGGCTGTGCGGACCCACTTCCATCTCTCCGCGCTCGGCCTGCTCTGCCCTGCTGCTCTTATAGTCGCCGCTCGGCGTCTTTCGATCAGCCACAAGCAGCTCGCAGCCGCAGCATCAACAGCATCATCTCTCTCTCTCTTTCTCTCTCTTCTCGAGCCCTTCTCCATTCTTCTGCATTCGTCTCTGACTCTGTTCGCAGTCCATCGTCTGCTGCGAGAACGCAACAGAACGCTGAGAAGTTGGAGTGAGTGAGTGAGGTTCAGCAGTGTCGAGCGGGCCGGACCACAATCTCATCAATCTGAGACTCGAACAATTATGGCCACCGCTTCGTCGTGTCAGCTCAAGTGCAGGAAGGCGGTGGGAATTCTGATCCTGCTCATGTGCTGCACGTCGCATTACGCCGATGCGCGAATAGCGTCGCAATTCGCCCTTCCAGCACGAGACGAGGAAGTCGGCGAGGAGAGTGGGCTCGAATCGCAGAGAGCGTTCGAGTCGCTGCTGACTCTGGATCAGCAGCAGGCGGGCTCGCGGAGGCTGTCGTTCCTGGTCCCGACGCCGTCGATGATTCTGCCATACCACAACGGCGTGATTCTGTCGGGGGCGCCGGAGATCGCCGTGTACGTGATCTGGTATGGCAGCTTCGGCGCAGCGCAGAAGGCGCCAATTGTGGACTTCCTGTCGTCGTTCTCGGCCGCGCCGACCGTGGCGCCGTCCGTGGCCTCGTGGTGGAAGATCACGGCCGGGTACAAGGATTCGCAGGGCCTGGCGGTGGCGCCCATGGTGAGACTGGCAGGGCAGCAGGAGCTGGCGGATTACTCCCGAGGCAAGGCGCTCAAGAACGCCGACATCCAGGCGCTGGTGCTCAGCTCGCTGGCCACATTCCCCGTCGACAGCAACGCAATGTACGTGGTGCTCACGGCCGAGGACGTGGTGGTGGAGGACTTCTGCCGGAACGAGTGCGGGGCGCATCTCTTCACGGGCCCGAGCGCCGCCACCAAGCAGCAGCAGCTGCCCATCGCCTGGGTCGGCAATTCGGCCTCGCAGTGCCCCGGCCTGTGCGCCTGGCCCTACGCCAAGCCCCAGTATGGGCCGCCCGGCGAGCCCCTGCTGCCGCCCAGCGGCGACGTTGGCACCGACGGCCTGATCATCAACCTCGCGACCATTCTCGCCGGCTGCGCCACCAATCCCTTCAACAACGGCTTCTTCCAGGGCGACGCCTCGGCCCCGGTCGAGGCCGCCACGGCCTGCGCCGGCACTTATGGCGCCGGCGCTTACTCCGGCTACCCCGGCCAGCTCCTGCTCGACTCCGCCTCCGGCGCGAGCTACAATGTCCTCGGCGCCCACGGCCGCCAATTTTTGATGCCCGCTCTCTGGGATCCCGTCACTCTGGCCTGCGTTGCGCCCTGATCGCTGTCAGACACTGCCCCTCCTGCTCGATGATCTCGCGCTTGTCGCCTCCATCTTATTTACGTTATCTAAGAGTACCTTGTAACGTAGTAGACATACATAGACAGACAGAGACAGACATAGATAGATATAGAGAGAGAGAGAGACGATTAGATACAACAGAGCACGATAAGGTGCCGAGGGACTCCATACTTCCCCATCCGCCAAGCCAGCCAGCCAGCCAGCTATCTGTCCATCGTTTCATCCTCGCTCGCTCACGTGGTTGAGAGAACAGAATTGGGAGTTTCGTGTACAATGGGGAATTGCGGCTCGAGACAGAATGTATCATCATTCAGAGGCGGAAGAACTATCAGAGGAATCTTCTAGTAGCGGTAGGAGTAGTGGGAACATCATACAACAAGCAAGCGAGCGAGCACGCACGCAAGGGTCATGATCGCTCGCAGTTGCTGCTGCGTGGATACTTCCGGAAGGGCGGACGGTCCAGCAGTGGGTCAGAATCCAGATGTAAGATTTAAGTAATAAATATGACACCTGAAGGTGATAATCATCCCGAGGTTGCTCTTACATACATACATACTCACTCACACTCACTCACACGATCCCCTGCTCTGCTCTGCCCTGCTCTCCCCTGCTCCCCTGTGCTGCGCATTGTCGTACTCGATTTGAATTCACAGCGGCGTGCGATGCGCTTCATGCATTCATGCATGCTTGCATTTCGCACGGTACGTCGATCTCAATGCTGCAGTTTCGATTGCTCGCAAAAGAGGGATCGGATCGTGCGTGGCTCCCGGCGACTCGTCGAGTCTCTACGTCCTCTTGCGTTCCAGAAGATTCCATCATCGTCTGGAACATTCCACGTACCTGTCATAAGCTCTGAAAGTCTCAGATTCCTCGTTCTGCGAACTACTACGACGCTCGTACATCTGCAGTCCGAGCTGCCAGAGTGCTCCTGTTTGACTCCGGTGAGTTCGTGTCTTCTTCGATCCACGACTTGGGTGGCTCGAATCGGGCAATTTTGTGGCCTCTAGTCTCAGTGCGTCCATGTTGAACAATATTTTCAAGCTCTTAGGGTGTTTGAATTTTTCCAACATTTGTGCTGAGGACCAGGTCCGCATCAATTTATGTTCAGATGTCCCACGACGCTGCACCTCGTCGTTTCGGTCCTCTGAGTTCGGTCGTAGTCACAATACAATACAATACGAGGAGGACAGTAACGAAGTTATTTAACATGCACGACAGAGGGTTCGACTCTGAAGTCTGTGCACGAAAGCGTTGGGGGCACATGGATCATATTCAACCTCTCTGCCCAAAACAAGCGACGAACTGATGTTTCTCCATGGGAGCGAGATGAATTACTTCCTACCTAGCCGATCCACTGTTATGGACAACCTCATGCAGATCCAAGTTCAGGGAGACTGGCTTGCTAGGTCGCTCTTTGTTGGGGTGCAAACACAGTGGCGACTGTAGAGCGAAATGCCTTGGAATCTTATTCAGATTCGAGCTTCAAATTCAAGAGCTCAAGAGCTGATCCTCGTGTGGAGGAAGCCCAGCACTCCGAACGAGGTTTGACTCGTTCGAAGTGCTGAGGATCTGTGATGAGCGCGACATGAGGTATACGTCTCGCTCAATGTTCTGTTCAAGAGGGTGAAGGTGGGGTTGATTCGTAATCAGGAACTCATTATTGAACCCGGTGGGAACTATCGCATCATAGAAACCGTCCTCCCGCCCACTCACTCACTCACTCACTCTGATTCTGAAGGCACGACGAAATCTTCATGGAAGAAGAGCCAGGTCACTTTGGAATTTGGTTCGAGTTTGAAGTTTGAAGTTTGAAGGCGGAATTGAATGATGAGATTTATAGGACCCGGGGGATGTGCGTCCCTTCTCATGCTCTTTATGTCAGGAACTGGGCAGCCTTTGGAGCTAGGATGGTGATTGTGCGCGCGGAGGCTCTCCTTGCTAGCTTCCAGGTCAAGCTGTACGAAATCATTACTTCCACCCGTCATGGAAAAGTATTCGCCTACTGCACTAGCCTGCGGTCATTCCGTTGAATATCGTTCTTGTCGATTGTGCGAAATTCGGTGACGAAATTCTGCCCACTTTCGAATGTTGTGTCAGAATGCTTCAGCTCGTCATTTTCCAGTATGTGACTGTATCTCTGTACTGTTCTGGGCGTGTTCGGAGAAGGAAAAGTTGTACAAATCCCGTTTCGCACATGAGCTCGGGCCCACGTTTCCGAAGGCTTGGGACCACGTTGCGATGTCGAGATGCAGGGTCGACGTCGACGAGAGAGAGGTGCTCGAGAGAAAGGCTCATAATTCTGTAATTAAGAGTTGCTGAGATGAGGAGCGAGGCAGTCATGATGATGAAATTCCGAGTTTTCTACTGAGACTCACCGCGCTCATCAATGCGACCAAATGACGAACATGCTCCTACGTGTGAGCGAACATCAATGGGAAGCTAGTCAAGCTGACTCACACGATCTGCCCATCTCTGCTCTCGGAATGACCTGTGCATTTCCGAGTGCTGGATGTATAACTATCCAGACGCATTGCTGCATCTTTCTGCGCATGCTCTCGCTCATTCGCTCATTGATCCGAGACCTGAGTGGCTCCATGCGCATGCTGCCTCGAGGTCGGTCTTCCAGGAGGACCTCTCGACTCCCCGTCGCATGACCTACTGCCACCCCTTCGGAGGTGCGAAGTCTTCTCGAGCCCAGGGATTGGGGTGCGAATGTTTTTTTTTCCCTGCCGTGCTTCGCAGGACCTCGGCCTCGCCAGTTGTTTATACTTGTTTGGTTCGGAGCGCATAGGAACAAACAAGTACATGTTCCATAATATCTCGTCGTACGTTCCTCACCTGGAAGCGGTACATCTCTTTCTGCAGCCCTCGCTCCGTGTCGGAAGCTTGACCTACGGATCGACTCAGATGGATGATTGTGTACAGCTCCGGGCCACCACCCATGCCAATGTCGACCATATCGGAACGAATTTACCAGGCCGAGCTCGGCTTGTGCATACGAGTTCCTAACGCGATACATGAGCTGTGGATTCGTCGACGCTCGAGATATGGCCGTGCCCTCGGCCTCCTGTATTTACATCAAGCCTCCTTGGGCCTGTACAGCCCCCGATCACAGACCGACCTTTCTCCGAAGTGCTGTGAGCTGCATCGGCCTGCGTGTCCAGTCCGATGGCGCCACCCGCCGGCCCGAGCCGATCTCTCGGTCCCTGAATAAGGACAAGTGTTCGCTCGCAGCTCCTTCCTCTTTCTCGAGACCCATCAGCATTGGATCAGCACTTCCCGACAACGCAAGACCTTGAGCAAAACATGTCCAGGCTCAGAAGGTCATTAACAGTCCTTTCGGTTCATTATATGCATTATATGCTTATGGATCGCATTCGTACGGGAAGACTTTCCCAGCATCCCCTTTCGAAAGAGAGAGAGAGAGAGAGAGAGAGGACTGTCCACTTGTCTGAGGAATGTACGTCTGCTCTCGAGTCCAGCTCATGGGGGAGATCGAGCAAACGGGGAGGGAGGGGTGGGGGGAATGTTGGTTTGAAGCTTCTACGGTCGAATTTCCAGCCACGACCTTTCCCCTCAGATGCACGCATGAACATGATTCGAACATGCACCTCGGCGCTCATTCTGCGCTATAAACAACGACGCCCCCAGCTCACCTAGAGCTCTACGAATCTCTTTAACGAACTTAAAAACTGGCACAAATATCTCGGCTTAAAGGGAACTATGATGATCATGAGGAAGGAAGAAGTAAGTCGTAACAAATTGCCACGTTTTTCCCACCTCGCAATTTCTTATGGATCGATAGAAAACGAGCAGTACACATTGTGCTTTCACAAGTCATCGCGCTCCACCGCCTTGCCAACTCGTGTCACTCAATGACCAGGGAATAAGGCTCGCCGTCTATGCGACACATGAGCCGACTGCTGGGATCTCGGAGTAGGTGAGTGGGAACATTGCAAGTACGATACAGGCCGTCAGTCAGTCAGCCAGTCAGTCTTAGAAAATCATTTGCTCACATATATAAGGGTCGATGAGTTCCTACAGTACAGGATAAATGTGCCGTGCCATGCCCTGCCCCGCCCTTCCAGTCACCCGGAGCTTCATTTTTAATGAAGTTTCTGTTCTCAACAGTCTTATCCAATGACTACCGATGGTACAGGTATGTATGGCAAGTTAACACCTTTTGATTCGGTGTTGCATGGAACACGAACATCGGATTGGCATCAAAGGCCTTTCGAGGCTTTGAAAGGCGAGGCGAGGCGGCTCCAAGTGCTTTAGCTCATGGATTATACGTGATGAAGACGATACTATGCAGCAGCATCTCCAAATCTCGCACAAATGGGGGTCTCCGACATGTTCATGTTCATGTCCATGTCCATGTTTGGCACACCAAATGCACGCGCATATTCACGCCCGACACTTACCCATCGCATGACGTTTGATGGGTGAATGTCGTAAATCTTATCTCATCTGGCTATTCAGATTCAAGCTCACAGAAAGGGATAGAGAGAGAATGTGTGGGGTGGGGGTGAGTCCAATTTTAACCATCTGACAAAAGGGGCATCCTGGAAGAGTGTGATTGAGTGTTTGTGTGTTTGTGTGCGTCCACAACATGCAGCAAAACATGCAAACCATCTTGTTGTTGCAACGATCATGGTGTGTCCTCATCGCGCACATAGGACCGAACGCCAAATCTTGGCCCGAGCTTATTTTCCGCCGCTTAGTTTAAGACGATCCTACGTACGCGAACAGAATTGGATGACGACCACGTGAAGCACACTTGCACTTTTTCTAACTCCCTCCGAGATAGGCCAGTGATGTGGACAATGCAAGTCCAGGCTAAGTCTAAGTACTGCCGCTGATTATTATTCCGGCATGGCATCTTGTTTGAGTACACGCAATCTCCGGCCCCTCTCTCTATCTCTTTTTCAATACCGCAGCAGCAGCAGCAGCACTGCATGAGGTACATCTCCACCTCATGCCTTCAGGTGCGCAGTGCTCGCTCGGGTTATTCGTGAAACTGACCGGGTCCCTCCCTCCCTCCCTCCCTCCCTGGTCCTGCCCAGCCCAATCTATCCCACCCTTGTACTTTCCGAGCAACATATCTGAACTCAAGCATAGCGCAACTCGACTCGCAGGTCTCCAAGGAAAGTACTGGTAATTAATTTGTCCATGGGCGAGTTGCCTTGCATGCATGCAAAAAGCGGATTATAACCAACGATTTCTGCACTCATGCTTTCCTGGGGGCGAGAGTACTCGATGAAGGAAGACAGAGATCAAAGTGTATGAGTAGAAGAGGATCTGCAGTCCAGGGCGACGACGAGGAAAGGTGAAGTTCGAACTGGCCCTTCCCGAGTCCGAGCAGGTGCAGAAACCCACCCGGCCCCCATTTCGATATGACGCATCGACCCTTTACTCGGCGCTTGGAAATGCAGCAAACCATTGGTTATGGTGGTTGTGTACTTGCTCTTGATAGAAAGATACAGTAACTCTTGTGGACAATCATAAGCAGCTGCTACTTCCAGCCTTTCCAACATGTAAGGACTAGGGGCCGGGGCGTATTGATATTTAGCGCAGCGCAGCAAAGACCCAGCGAGCTCCAATCACTACAACTGATCGAGCAAGGCCGGCGGAGTCGACGGGTGGAGTGAGATCATCATCCACTATCTGATCGTAATGATTGCGCAAATACTTTGAACCAAAGAATGGCGATTCTTTGTTCGATGACCAACATCTTAAGTTGTCTTTCGTGCTTTAGATCCGTGTGTGTAGTGAGTGTGTGTAGTGTGATGCTCGGTAAAGAGCTCGAACTCCGATGCTCGAAAAAAGCAGAAAAATAAAACCCCGAGAAAAGCATCTGCGCAACTTATGCCAGTGCCATGCCACTTCGAATGGCATGGCACTGGCACCTGGCACTGTAACGTAACGAAGTTCTGATTGTCGAGTATGTCACTCTTCCTTCTCGTCCATCCACATAATGGGCGCTTAGAGTCCAAGAACTCGGACTCCAAGTCCATGCGATAAGGTGAGGTCAGGCGACTCAAAAGTTAAGGTGTGCTGCACTGCTGATGGTTTTGAGCCTTTGAGGAGGCATGAAGTGAGAGAGAGCGACGAGACTGCTGCTGCAGCTTTTCGATTCCTAGGGCCTAAGGGGGGCGGGGGGCGGGGGGCGGGGGGGTGCAGGAATCTAAAAGTATAATCGTGGAGAATTGCGGCCTGTGGTGCTGCTTGACACCACTTGGCACCCATATGGTCGCCATGCGTCTATTATGTTTGTTTTTGCATAGGGGTCGTATGGCAACGCAACTCTTACGGCTATCTCATACGATCACTGGACTTACTTTGTGGGTGGAGGACGTCGAAACAAGCCAGCCTTCGCCAATAGTTGGCGCCCACAAGGCCATCTTACACTACGAATCGTCCCGTCCGAGCTTTACTCGGAAATGTTAGACAACGGAAAGAAACAACTTTTCTCTCTCGGAACTCGTTGAACCACATCCTCTCCGACTGCCTTTGGACGACATGTGGGATGGGATGGTTGACCCTCTCGCCTTGCTTTGCAAACTCAACTTTGTACATGTCTATGCACACGACCTTTGCACGCGCACTTTTTAGATGCAAGCTACGCATAGATAGCAGGGGAGGGCAGGGGCGGTGGCGAAGCAGCCTCAGGGCACATCCCATTGCGATAATCGACCGAGGCGATGAAATGAGTTGTATGTGAGCTGCTGCCTCGAGTGTAACTATCTACGCTCGAGAACGTGCGAGCCACCTAATCAAAAGACCTGGACATGCCTCGATGGTGTTCGATAGATCACAGCACAAACTACAAAATCACGTGGTCTACTCAATGGAGGTCCCACACTTGCGAGACGAACTCAGAGTTTTCGTTCGTACATTTTGTTGGTCCCAAGGCTCTCTCTCTACCACTGTAGTTATGCAGTTTACGGTACCCCTAGACCTCTCCTCCCCGAAATCAATGCTTAGACTCGCCTCTCTCTCCCTCCCTGCCTCCCTCCCTGTCTACGAGTCTCAACCCGAGCACTCGTGCTCAATAGGCAGTCAGGCAGGCAGGCAGTGCGTAACGTAGGCTTTCTTCTCTGCCAGTGAAAGTAAGCCCGAGAGTCTCGGTTTTGAGCATGCGACTGAAACCATTGTGGGTGATAAACCCAGGGGGAAAGAGTTTTTAAAGTTGGTTCTCGACGCGTACACCATGCGACCTCGTGTCAGGTCAGCACATTCGGAGCCGAACTATGTTTTTCACTGAAGACTGGCGTGGCCTGGCCTGGACTGGACTGAACTGGACTGGATTGTAGTAGTTCACCAAGAACTGTGAGAGCAGATCTAGTATAAGTCATGATTGAGGGGATATAAAGGGATTAACCTCTAGGCTACAATCTCACTGTAGCATGGGCTCAGCCGACGACTGGTCATCTACTTGATCTTGCTCGGTCTGGTATGATCTACCAGAGGGCACTGTAGTCCAGGCTGAGCCCTCCCTCCCCACGTCCTGCTGCTCCTCCTCCCTCCCTGGAGGCCAATCCGCCTGCCTGACTGACGACTTGCCCACTACTGTTCCCTTCTCTTCTTCATCATGAACAGGACGTTGGCGTTCTTCAGTCACTAGTAACCTGCTGTAGACGTCACCGAATTGATGCCACGAGACGCGTGAGGCAATCTTGCTTCAATAGTGCTTCGGCTTGTGGCTCTGGACCTATGGAGACCGCGCAAACATGTCAGCAACTCTTTAAGTTTTGGATCCATTTCTTGGATTTGCTCTCTCTCCCTCTCTCTGTGTCTCTGCCTCTGTTCGTGTAGTGAAATTTCGGGGCAGAGTTTCACCTCGAAGATGAGTAATCAATCCGTCAAGAGTTTAAACTTGGGTGAGAGAATGCGCTCCATCTATCACGCAAGGTCGAGTGCATATATCGATGTAGCAAGAGCAAGCATGTAGCAGCTAGCTGCAGGCAGGAATTGGGCGACCTCGAAGCTTCGTTTGCATCCACATATAAACTAAAAAACAATGCACGACCACCTGGGCTCATCGATTGAAACCGCTGTTCAAATTTGAAGCAACTCCGCTGATCCACACCATTAAAGTAGCGCTCGCAGCCCGGGCCCTTTCGTTCGAGACCCTGACTGAGCCCGAGCATGAAAATCCAGAAAACATTTATTGAAAAGGCATCCGCTGTCAAATTTTGAGCCGCGACATCCACATCTACGTGAACAGTTTTTTGGCATGCTTTGCTCCCACTTCTTAGGCTGCCAAAATTCGTGGGGATTCTGATCAAATCCGTCGTGTTGACATTGTGAGATGGTTACGAAGGAAAGGCAATCCGTCAGGGGGCTGGGCTTCGCGGGAAGTGGTTAAGCGGGCGTCAACCGCAAGCACCGGCAGCAGGCCCCGGGGGGCTATAGGCACCGAAGCGCTTGTGGCTCCTGTCAGCTCGAGTCAGATCGGTCATATGGGATGTGCCCCTTTTGAAGATTTGGAGCCGTTAAATCTGAGGCGCAACTGCTGTTGCTTACCTTACCGGATGCTCCTTGAGATTCCCAACACATGGGAGCATGAGAATTTAATTATTCACGGAAAAGCTGCTGTAGGTCTTATCTTTTTCCCCACCTATGCATTGTCTTATTTTTCCCCCAAATGATCTACGTCTTTTTAATCTGTAGATATTTTTTTTCGGTTAATAGTATTCAAATTTCATCTGAATGATATTTTCTCATGCAAGTAAGATCACAGATTGCCACAAGCTATCTATGTTCAAACCTGAGTTACCTGACATGGTGAATTTTGATGAAATCAGAAACTAACTTGAAACAAAAATAGGGAGAAGAACAGAAATGTTTTTTCCTACACTGTGAACAGTCTATTGTACAAGAAAACATATTCCTAAACGTTATATACATTCATAAGTTTTACAAAAGATATGTCAATGCAGACGCATTTGAAAAACTCTTATTTAAACAATGAAAACTAGCTTGTTTGTAAAAGATACTGATAATCTCGTTACTTGTTTCTGAAATAGACAACTCAATTCAAAAAATTTCACAAATTTAAATAAAACTTAGTTCAGATTCATCATTTTTTTCAAAATGATAATACTACAAGTTTACTATGGCAAAATATCAAATATTTTGAAATTAGATAAGATAAAAAAAATGAAAATTTATGAAAGAACAACAGATTTAAGAGTATATATTTTTTAACACATTTGGGCTTTAATCAAATTTCAATAAAATTAAATTTTTTTAAATTATATCATGTTATATTTAATTATGAAATTTTATTATCATGACTCTCTGTCAAAATCTTCACTTGAATATTTGCAACTAAATCAAATATCAAAAATTTTCACAGCTAAAAAAATGATAATGACTATTTGTTATATCTTCCGATATATAATTCCAGTTATTTGCAAAATTTGCAATTCTTTAAACAAAATTTTAAATCTGAAAAGTTGCATATTTGTACTCTACAAATCAAATATGTACAAAATTATACATGTAATTACCAAAAAAACCAACTTTGAATCAATTTATGCTTTTATAACTTAAATTTGAATTTAAATCATTAAATCAAATCATTTAAATCAAATTGGTAAATATCAAATTTACCAATTTGATATTCAAGTCAATTATAATTTTTTATACCCTCCCTTCGTAAAGTCAAAGAAGGATATCTTCAAGCCATGTCTGCCCTTCGGACCCACGAAGTGCGTAGCACCTCTCACGATAGATTATGGTATTTGGGAATGAAATAATTTTATTTGAATTTTTTGAACATGCAGAATAACATTTTGATATCTGAATCAAAATAAAATATCTAATATTTGGAAATCTTGGAGAACAAAATAATAGTTTAAAAAAATACTTTACAACAAAATGATATTTCAATACATATATACTATTGAAAAAAAATCATCTTTGATCAGTGTCTTAAGAATAAATATAATTTGACTTATTCCATTTAAGAAAATAATTTATTTTACTATGAAAAATTGTGACACTTCAATTTGGAATTTGGTTTGAATTTTACAAGAAAGATTTTTCAGCATCAAAATCATCAATCATACAAATCTACACAGCCGAAATTTATAATCACTTTTTAATCTTTTAACAAAATTAATTAAGAAATTTATGGAAAAATCTATATTTTGAACATTTTTCTATATTTTTATCTATTAAATATCCAAAGTAAATGTAAGGCTATCAAGCAACTTTTTAAATCTTAAAAAATACTATCAATATTTATATATTTATATTTGAATAAAAAATGTAAACTGTAATTTTCAAAAACTGAAAATGACTACATTCTTTACAAAAAATCCAAAATGCTTTTACCTGACCAATGTTGTATTCATGTTTCATTTCATAACCATAAATTTTAAGCAGATAGTTATCAAATGATTTTTGGAATATATAAAATGCTTGATAGTACAAGCTTATATGTGATGTTTTGAAAAAAAATTTAAATTTTTTTTATTGAAAAATAGGTGTAAGTAAGAAAGACGAACATATATTCTATAAAAATATTAAAAATAATTTATTTTGATTTATATTCCAATAAGAATGGCATACTATATAAATTTCTTTTAATATATAAAGGCAAAAAATCTAATAATAAGGATGAATAATGTCAAATATTAAAAAAATGGATCAATTTAAAATTTTTTTAAAAAAATCTTAAGAAAATTTTTTTTAAAAATATTTTATTTTTTCGTAGTACAAATAGGATTATAAGATATTTTTATCAATATTTCAATAGTATGAAAAGTCTACTATGATTTGATTTTAAATTAATCAATTTGACATAGCTTAGAATTATGAAATAAATTTTATTACCTCAATTTGGAATATTATGAATTTTGATTTTTTAATAATATTTCGGAAAAAATATTAACTTCACATTATTTTGCGTCTTTGAAAAAAATTAAATAGATGAAAAAAATCAATTTAAGACACAACTTGATACATTTATCAAATTCCTATATAAAATATTTATTTTGATTTACTTACTTTTCTGAAACATTGTTATGAATCAATTCATATACTTTGGATACTCAAGTTAGCTTAACTCCAATTGAAGATAGGTTTATTTGCTACATAGTTCTCTCTTTGAAGACTTTGTGAAGCTTGGGTTCGCACACCTTGGCGAACCATGTATTTCAGTGTTTGTGTGTGTATTTCAAAAGTCCATATGATTCACAATTTTAGTCATCAAAGTATCTTTATAATGCTTATGTGTCCATCATCATGTTATAATAAATATAATTCAAAAAATTTAATAAACAAGACTAATTAATAAAATTTGAGTGTTTTAATCTGTATAAACTTACGGGTAAATTTTATAATCGTATTTGAAATAGGAGTTGAATATCATTATCTATATTTTAATGGATGGGTTGAGTCTATATCATTTTAAATGTAATGCCATATATTATTGATTTTATTAGGAACCCTAAAACCTATTTCATGCATACAATACGCTTGAAAATTGAACTTCAAAAAAGAAAAGTTGAATAATTTGAATCTGATATAATTACATGCATAATGCTCTTACATTCAAAATACTAAATAATCCTTAAGTTTTATCTAGATTATCATTCTAATATTAATAGGATTATCAAAAAATTGAGGGAAAATATTTTTAAATATAATTCTTTCTCAAATAATGTATATAAATATATTAATTAATTTCATCTAATTATTCCATTTAGGAATCAATTAAAATTTCCAAATTCTTGATTTTTGCATTATAATCTCATAAGCATCTGAAATATTTGGTATTTTGAGATTGCCTCATGTAATATGCATAAGCCTGTATATAATTATTTTTTAATATTATTTTTGGAAATTTAGAACAAAAAATAATTATTGACACAATAAAAATAAAAATTATATTTTACATAGATAGAAATTTTGATAAAATATTTTTATCATTATTAAAGAAAGGGAGTGGTTAGTTATTCTTCAGATTCGGCTAATTATCCCTCACTCTATTGAACAACCTACTGAACAGAACTTTGTGATTCGTCAAATCTATCCCTATGTTAACTAGAGCTCCTTGATATACTCTTCAGGGCACGCAGAAATGGGGAGAAGTAGTGCACATTAGCCTAGGGTGAGGGATAATTAACCCAAACTGAGATATAACTAGCCGCTCACTAAAAATTCATGTTCAAATTTTTTATATTTCTATTATTTGATTAGCTTTCATGAATATAGATTATCAGATCAGTACACTATACCTCTTTATCACAAAATGCTATCATTTGCATCATGGATTATATAATACATGTACGGGTTTTTGTACTCTATAACGTGATAAATACATGTACTATGTTGATGCCAATGAAAATGAATTCACGTATCAGACTCGTTATAGAGTAAGAAAACCATACATGTTATCATATCAAGTTCTAGATATATGTGAACTATTGATTGTAAGTTGTTTGAACAATGAGGTAATTTCACACTGATTAACAAAATATATTTTTTCAATTTATTTCAATTTTTAAATGTATCAAAGAAAATTAACCTAAAATTTAAAAACTTATTTTAAAAAAATGGCAATTATGAATAAAACTCAGGAACTGTATGAATTATTTTAGCAAAATTATTCAAACTTGGAAAAATTTGTATTTCTTATCACTTTATCCATGTAGTGTAAGCTAAAAATTTCACTCATCTTTGCAAATTTGAAATCTTTATATGAGGTGAGGTATATGAAATTACTATATGTTTTCTTCAAAGAAAATGATGCAATATATTTAGTGATGGGGACGAAGTCTTGAATCTTATATCCAATATTTGCATGGCAAAAAGCGCATCAGAATTACAAGACTGTTGGGAATGTGCTAACACGTATTTGAGGCAACTACACTGGTATATAACCTCATTGGAGTTCCATACTCCAACATTTTTCATTGAGCAACATCCAGCTTTTGACGGAAATCCAGAAGACAAGACCATTACTTGGCAGCAACACATGACTATAGATGATAATTCGACGGTCGGCCTCCTAAAAGTGCCTTCACACATTTTATAATTCTAAATCTTTGTCATATTCATTGCTACCTAGACAGAAGGATCTGCGGGTGAGCCAGTCACATATATGATCGTCAACAGAATAGACAACTTCTCAACTTTCTAAAGCTTTGGCTATTCTTACGAAGGGTTAGGCTCTATTGCGAGGTGAAATATAAGTTCTACACGATATAGACATGGTTCAAGTGCCACACTTCATATATGGCGACAAGGTATAGACAACAGCCATTCTACCATAAGCGATTTACTCGTGCATTGGTATGGATAATAATTTTTTGTTAATAATTGTTGTTAATAGTTAATTTTATGGTATAATAGTATTTGTCATCAAGAATAGGAAGGTTTAAGATTTCCAACGATGAAACCAAGGGGTAGCAATAACATCACAGCGTGAAAATTGTACATGAAGTATCCCGATTATCAACATCGAACGGTGTACATGTTATTAAACCATGACGAGAAGCAATTTATAGATTGCAGAAGCAAGTTCTCTCATCGAGGGCACTCATCACTCTCATGGCTATACAGTATCCTCCCTCCACCATGATAGAGTATAGCTCGGGCTAACGATGGCCGCCATAAGGATTGCAGCCAAATTTAACCATGAATGCTGCGAACACGCAAACTCAGAAGCCGCGAGATTCTTTCCCCACGCAGACCATACCGGTCGAGACAGAGGTCTCCACTTCACTCGTCTTGATTGGCGACGACCATCTGTTCACTTTTACACAAAGTGAGCCTACGAGGCTATACTATACGCTCACATGATGGCCAGGTCCATCGTCAATGTCATCGCATATGACGTGCCAGAGCAAGCCGCTCGCCCGATTCCTCACACTCGCAAAACAAATCCATTCTGCGAATGAATGCCTCCATTCTGCCATTATTATTCGCCGGCCCTGCTCGTGAAGAACTGATCGGCGGGATGATCGGCGTCGTCTCTGGGTATGGGGAGTGACCGGGAGATCCGAAGATCACAGGAGAGCTCGATTTGTTTGATTTGTCCAGGGCCTATTTCCCATGGCCATGTGTCATACGTCCAGGGCGGGGGGCATGGCGAAGATTTTCTTACTGCCTCGGTGTTTTGTTTTTCGTGGCGGTTTTCCTCGAGCCAATGGAAAGGGGCTAGATTGGCGCACGATGGAAAAAAAGACAAGAAGTGGTTCTGCTAGAGTTGAGGTCGTGTATACTCTCCATCTCCACATTCAGCTAACGGGGGCCCGGTGAGTGTACCGGATGAGGACACGGGTGTTCGTCGGTCCTCCCTCCCTCCCTCCACATGCAGATCGCGAGGTGAACTTGCGCAAAGAAACGAAAGCAAGGCAAGGAGCAAAACGGCGACGCAGTGAACTTGTACACAGTTAATTCTCCCGTGTCGGCGCTGGCACCACCGCCGCTGATTTGCTCGTCCGGGGTTCGTTCGTCAGGTCGCAGTCTGCTCTAAACCCTTACCCCAAGCCCAAGCCCAAGCCCCTAACTTCGGCAAAGGCGAAAGAAAGTGGAGGGGGTGAATGATGCTGCCCCTGCCCCCGGGGTTCGTTCGTCAGGTTGCAGTCTGCTCTAAACCCTTACCTCAAGCCCAAGCCCAAGCCCAAGCCCCTAACTTTGGCAAAGTCGAAAGAAAGTGGAGGGGGTGAATGATGCTGCCCCTGCCCCTGCCCATTACAGCAGCAGCTAACCGTCTACTGAAGGGAGGGAGGGAGGGAGGGAGGGGTGGCAAAGGACAGAGTGGGGGACCGAAGTTACTGAAGGGGAGTAGGTTGTGTTTGAAGCTGCTCGAATTCGACCTCCCAACGGTTGCTTGGCCCAGCTCAGCTCAGCTGCCCGCCTGCAGTTACTGCAGTCGTTTCTGCAAGGGTTTAAGGAGCAGTCGTCGTCGTCGTTGTCTTCGTCGTCGTCGTCGTCATCATCAGCTGGATTTATTCTATTGCCACTGTCGCAGGTTGTGCCAGAGCCCTTCCCTGCTTATATCCTCCCTGCTGAGCTCTGTCTGCACAACACATCTCAACTCAGGCGCACTTCCTCCTCCCCCGGGTTCTTCTATCTCGCTCTCTCTCCCTCTCTCCCCCGCTGCCCCTGTTCCCCAGGGTCGTCGTCCTCTGGCGCCTTCTCTGCCCTTCTCTTCTCTTCTCTTCTCGACTCGTCTCTTCGCTCATCTGCCTTGCCTTTCACTCTCCTTCATTCCACCGAGCTGACACCTGCATCGCCTCTGTGACAGTCTTCTCCTCTGAGTCGTTCGATCGATTTTCTCCGTCGTGCGTCTCGGAAGTTTGTCTCTCTTTCTCTCTGTCTCCTCTCGTCCGTCGGTCGCATCGTTCTCCGTAGTTCAGAGCTCAGGGTTGTACAGGTCGATAGACATTGCGGCCGGCTCCGCACGAGCAGCAGCAGCCATGGCGAGCTTCGGCAAGAAGGCAGTGGTGGCCATGCATGTCGTGGCCATGGCGATGTGCGTGATGATCGCGCTTACGCAGGTGCAGACCGTCAGCGCGCGGTCGACATCGGTGTTCTCGGCCTCGGTCAATCATCTGCGCCACGGGCAGCACCACGACGGCGTGCACCCGCATCTGAGAACGCATTCGCGCAAGCTGTCGTCGCTGGTGCAGACGCCGCCGCTGCTCGTGCCGTATCACAGCGGGCCCATCTTGTCCTCCGACTCGGAAATTCCCATCTACATTATCTGGTACGGCGAATTCAGCGCGGCGCAGCGAGCGACCGTGACGGATTTCTTCGCTTCTTTCGCGCACGAGGCCGATGGCGGCGGTGAGCCCAGCGTGAGGGGCTGGTGGAAGGCGACTGGGGCTTACAGAGATGGCAGCGGGGCAGCCGTCTCGGCCGCGGTGGAGCTCAAGGGCGAGGCGGTCGACGACTACTCGAAGGGCAAGACGCTGAGCAAAGAAGATGTCCAATGTCTCGTGGAAGGGGCTCTGGCCTCGGGCGCATTCCCCGCGGACGCCGGCGCAGTCTACTTCGTGCTGACGGCTGAGGACGTGAATGTCGGCACCTTCTGCATGAACACCTGCGGATCGCACCATTTCATTGCGCCCAAGGGCGTCACGCAGCACAAGCAATTGCCGTTCGCGTGGGTCGGGAACCCCGGGACGAAGTGCGCCGGCCGCTGCGCCTGGCCCTTCGCCAAGCCCCAGTATGGCCCTCAGACCGAGCCCCTCGTTGCGCCCAGCGGAGACGTGGGGCTCGACGGCATGCTCATCAACATTGCCGCCGTGCTGGCCGGCGCTGCCACCAACCCCTTCGGCAACGCTTTCTTCCAGGGCGACGCCTCGGCGCCGCTCGAAGCCGCCACTGCATGCGCAGGCACCTACGGCGATGGCGCATTCCCTGGCTTCCCTGGCGCTCTTCTGGTGGATCCAGCCTCCGGCGCCAGCTACAACGCCGTCGGCTTGAATGGCCGCCAGTTTCTTCTGCCCGCTCTCTACGATCCGACCACGCTGTCTTGTCGCGTGGCTTACAGCCCGGCCATCGATTTGGTGGTTATGGATGAAGGTGGCAGCAGCAGCAGCCGTGTGGACTCTCAGTAGGTGGCCGGATGGTTGGTTTTACGACCCAGTCTGTTCTTGCGGATCGTGAGGTCGGGAGATGATCTTCTTTGGCCTCACAGGTTCGTCGCTCGTCAGCTTGGAAGTGCGTTTGTGCTGTTGCATGAGGCTGCACTGGAGCTGGGATGGCTGAGCTTTGTGCAGCGGTCGAGGGCTCTAGAATCATGGATAGCTCGAGGTGGTCGATCGTTGCACAAGATGGGATTGAGATGAACGTGTACAATGGTGTTGCGACTTTTAGAATAGATTGTCGGATAATCTGTCGTTGTCATTAGTGGTTTGTATGAAATGACGGTACGCAATTTTGTAGAATATCGGGAATGCCAGCTCCCTGACTGTGGAAGAATGTATAGTGTAGAGACAATTCTTTCCCCATATCAATTGTTTGTACAGAAGATGATACGCAATTTTGTAGATTATAGAGAAGGGTAGTTCTCTCACCTTGATAGAATGTACAGTGTAGAGATAAACCTTGATTACTACTTGCAGCTTACTCCATTTTTCTTATATAAAAATGTCTATATTGCTTGTACATTCTTTCATCTGAAGCTCTCGGTGCGCTGTGTGTGTTTTGGATAAGTCCTTATTAATGTCGTAGATTGTGCATATCCGTGACGATGGGAAAATGGTGAATTTGCAATCAAGCAGGTGAGCTGACTTTTTCAGCTGCCGTTGTCACAAAAGTTATCATTAGCTCTGTTTCGGATTGAAGAATTGAATTGTGTATTTTAGTGGAGCGTTCGACAGTCGATTGGAGAATGTGTGCAACGTGTTGTCGAGAGCTAGGATATGCGCAGTACTGTGTAACCAATGTCATCCGACAGTCTCTGGTGGGACCGGTCTGAATGCTGTCAACCATATTTTACAGCTCGCTTGTGGAACAGACTGGAATTGGTGTAAGCTGAGCCTAGCTGGTAAATCCCGACATTATTGTACAGAAATTGTAAACGGCATCGTGGACAAGGACATGAAGTATGCAGATAGGGGAAGGTGAAAGAAGAATAAATATTTATAGTAGGCAGTGGATTTCATCTCGTCCATACTATACGCACGCAGAGAAAAGTAGCTCCCACAATGAAGCTATCCTCAGTGGCATCGGAATGAACGTTATTCAAACCTGTTCATATAAAATGGAAGAAGGCTGAAATGAGGTGTTTGGTATGTTAAGTGATGAACATGCGTTCGAATGTTTGGGCAACGTACATGTTTGACTCCATCAGACTGCTTATCCGGCAAGGGAAGTCAACCAAGTGAAGGTAGAAAGTGGAAGCTTGAAGCCTAACTCTTGCAAAGATCCTTGAGTAATGCAGAAGCAACTTTCGACCAACGAGCGAGCATACTTTAATGTCAGGTGAGTAGGGTGGATCTGATTTTTGCCCACAACTCAAGACTCTTATGGATGAAAAGAAACCTGCCGACCTGCAAAAAGTCACAGCACTTACACAGTAATCAAGCAGAGTTGATGAGTATCAAAGAGTAGGAGTACGGAGTCAAATTCAAAATTAAGTAAGTCACTGCGTCCGATTACCTTCTAATAGCCGATTAGTGATTAATCGTACCTTCAATATACAACGAAAGACGCTGATTGTACTAGCTGCCTACAAAAACCAGCAGCATAATCCATCACCAACCCTTCTACCCGACCATCTCATGTACAATTGCTTCTTATGTGCTGGACTTGAATGCTAAAGTTGTCCACGAATATCAGTGCCAATTTCCTCCGTCCGTGATGTAGCAAATAACATTTTTATATCATATTTGTGGCTTTGAACGAGGACTTTTATTATGACGTATGTAGACCTTATTGAAACTCGTTTACTTATACTAAATCTCATTCTGAATGTACAAAATAGCCATCCAATACTGATGATACGACAGTGTCCTACAACAAAATGGAAACTATTCTCACTGAACTGAGTTCAAACGCCGAAAGTATGTAAGACTTTTTTTTACAATACGTAATGGTAGAAACTGCTTGACTTGTCATCTCGATCCATTATCACTCATCTTCAGGTTTCCCAAGCGAGTGGTCGGTCTCCTACACCAACTAACTCCTTTAGCACAGACAAACTAGAAGAAGTTCAGGAATAAAAGGCATGAAAGCTGGAAGGAATGTTTTTATGATGATGTGGTCAATAATTCGAGGCGTAGTTGGACTATTGCCACGAGTTTACAATCAACAATAGATCTAGGCAGAGAAAAGTCACCCCAAATATGGTATTTTTAGAAGGTGGACCCTCGCCAACGTAATTTAGCTAACTCTAAGAAATATATCTGTAGCTTGCCAATTTCATGAAAGTAGGAGGGGTTACATGTGAGAAGCAATAGGAGACAGATGAGACTAAATAGCACTCTGGTAATGAGAAATGTCTCAGCTGCCGACCTACTGCCGACGTGCCTGCTTCAGTAGGCTCGTGCGTGGAGACCACCTGTTACCAGGACACGCAGGAGTGAAGCGTCCCTGAGGATGCTCCAGTTCTGTGAAAGCGCAAGAAAAGTCTTTCATACATTATCCTACCACAGGCTCGTGGTATTCATGTTTTCTCGAAAATATTCTATATATTACACATAGTTCCTTGTGTATGGATTCAAAGCCTTCTCTTGATCCATTGTAGTGGCTGTCATACAAAATTAGCTTCTGACGATACAGAGAAATTATTGGGGATGTCGTCGACAAGCTTCGTGGTAGCATATAGAGAATTTCACTTACCGCTATTAGAGTCGCTTGCGTTGTAAAGTTCTCGAGATCTGCATGCAGTTTCCAAGAACTGTGCCCTTTGGTATCGTTTGTCATCTCATAGGATAAATGAATCCTATAACTCTCACGAAGTGTAGAAATGAAAGTTGAAAGCACCTTAAATCAGCATATTGGAAAAAATACCAACTTGATTCAGGAATGTCATCAGCTTTTGAGTAGGAAGAAACTATATTCAAAAATATGGTACGAGCCTTCATCATGGAATAGATGGGAGCAATGACCAATGACGACCCTAAGCAGGAGGGTGAGGAACCCCAGTGGTTCTCTCTCGAGTTGAGTTATGTGCTCTCGAAGAGCTCAGCTCTGAACTGGCGGGGTCTCAACGGTAAGAAGCACTCATAGCTCGAGCTCATTGTTGCAAGCCATCTGCCTTGCCTCTCTGGAAGCTTGTACATTTCATGGTGTTCGAACTTGGCACTGCGTTAATCGTCTGGACGGTTTTTTTCCTTCATAAACCAGAGCAGTCAAAATTGTGCGATTGAAAAAAGCACACTCTGCAGGATTGAGCTCTTATGTGACTCGTGATACACTCTGGCCTTGCCAATACAGATACCGATGGTGCATGATCTTGGAGAAGAGATCAGAGCAACTACCAAGTGCGATGCTATTGGAGTGAGGTACCATGTGCCACATGTCGCGGTCGCACAGTCTCGTCAACTGACTTCAAACACTGTGTAGCAATGTACTACCTCATTCTATGAATTAAGTCGTCGAGAATGAGGCGGATCTTCTCCAAAAGTCCGAACAATCATGCTCGATCAATAAATCGCCCTGGAGAACAAAACAATGGCTTTTACTCGACGGCAGAAGGAAGCGTCTAGTTTCTGTACTGATTCGTGTCCAAAGTGTGAGGGCGTCGTATCTTGAGCGATATACGTGAGAAAGAGTGTACTTTTGTACCAGGTATGGTACATGCTTTGATACCCATAAGTAGATACGACTGCAGTCTGACGCAGCGCAGAGCTACAGGATGACAGGACCCGGCGCTGGCTGGCCCTGTGGACGAGCATTGGCAGAATCACGTCAGTCCGATGAGTGAAGCTAGACCGAAATGAGCAACATCTGGGGAATTTGGAGCTGCCTTTAGTACATGCACCGCATTATCCAGGCAGTGCTCGGTCTTCTCAGGCTCGGCGAATGTCATGCATCTCCGAAACGAAGATAACCGAATAAACAACTATGCATGCTGGTTGCCCTCATGGAGCCTTTCGGATGTGTAACAAGGCCAGTTCTGTTGTACAACAGGTTTGTGGGCAACAGTTGGCGTCGAGCTTTCGAAGACTTGAACCATATGGACCTACCGAATATCGAGGTCGTGGCACCGCTTGACCTCGGGTCTCCATCACTCCATTTTCATCTATCCCCAAAAGTTGAGAGGGTAAAGGTAAAAGGAGGTGCCGGAGCGAGGGAAGCAGGGACGAACGAGCAGTTACAAAATCGCTGGAAACACGTAGCCGAGTGTTGCAAATTAAAACTGCACAGTGAGTGAGCAGTACGCTTATGCCGGGTTATGGTGGGATCGGGCGGAAATGACGAACTGAGGAGGTGCAGGTACACGACAGGGAATAAGCGAGTGCAATCGAGCAAGGATGCAGTGTCTACCCAAATGGCTCTGCTCGTCTCACCAGTAAAACTCTTCTGTTGAGGCTAGCTGTGGAACTCGAGTACTGTCCTGCAAGTATGTGCTGTGATACTGCACAAGTGGAGAGATTTGCAGTTCAGAGTACGTACAGCCCTACTCGAGTAGGCATGAGCAGTCTGAGGTACGCCTATAAGATATCTCGGTACGATGCGTTTGACATCGTCTCCCCCGCTTTCCTGCCGTGCTCTTCCTGAGGTCCCCGCTTTGAAATGTGACAACCATCACCCAGATCTAACGTAAGCTGGGCCTTAATAGTAGGTTGTGATTCTTCTGAACCCCGCTCATCAAATGCTTGCTCACGCACATTCTGAGCCCAACATTGCCAACCCCGGTGTGTCATTGGTGCTCCTTGCGAGCGTTCTTCATAGATTCTTTGCTCTCAAGACTTGGTCCTGGCGTTGCATGATGGGAGGTCACTGTTAGCACTGGTGTGCTCACTTTAAATGAGCCAGTTGACGATGCGCAACGCCCAAGTCAAGAACACCCGAGTGTCCACTGTGGCCTGGTTGAAGTTCATCCATTGAAGAACAAGCCATAATGGCTATAATTGATTTCTGTACATTGACACCTGGTATACGAGCAGCATTTGATGGAGCACTCGGTGTCACATACAATGAAAACTTTCTTCGCACACTAGTAGTATCGTTCTATCTCTGAGATATCATCACCGAAGCTTGGTACTCATGGCAGAGGGAGGGCATTAGAGAGTATATCCTTACTTCCGTGGAAAGGTCAGTCGAGAGGTGAGTTTAATACGATTTAACTGAACAAAATTACTTAAGGCATAGTTGTCTCTAGTACACATCCACTATTTCTCCTTATAGTTTTGCCTATCATGATGCACTCGTAAGCTTCTGTTATCGCAAATATTGAGACAAGGCAGAATAGACATACCCATTTTCACAATTTCCGCCCTCTTCAGCTTTAGTGTGTACAAGCGTAATAAACTATTTTGACACAAGTACCAATTTAGCTTCTTTCTCGAACGGACATATTTTATGCATGACGTTTTCAATTATTTTCAACGGCATGCGTGAAAGGAAATATCTGTCTGCTTTACAAAAACCAAAGTTTTCAATCCTTTGTTAATAAACCGTTCACAATGGCAAGAAGAGAACTGTTTGCAGCTTACGATATGATCGTAGGGAGCTATCATATTTGAGTATAATTATTAGTAATATGCGATTACTAGTTTGAGGCATAACGTTGGCATTATTCGTGAACTGTTATGGAGAGGAAGATTTTGTATAGAGGTGTAAACTCGCAATCGCTTCCCTCTTTTCATGAAACTTCTTGTCGATCTGTAATTATCGTGTCAACAGTAAGAATTGCTTCTGGAGTGACAGCAGGAGAATAGTTCGGCACATTGTTGCTCTTCTCAGGTTCAAACATACCACAATGATAGGCCTTCACGAAAGTCAAAACATGGTTAGCATTGCTTGGCGTAAAATTCAGTGATCCAGAACAGTGACACTTACACAAGACGCGGAGTGTGTGGCAATGAAGGCAGAGTGCTCTGCCGCTTATTAGATGTATAAAAGAATGGGTGAAACAGTCACCGAACGATGTGTCTGCTGAGAATATTTGGCGGCTACTCCGATATATCGTCTAATCTATCTGATGCCTACTCCTAGTGGAAAAACCAGTCTCGGTATGTACAGGACTACTAATCTCGTGAAGCCTACAGAAAAATGAAATTGTTTACACTGATGGCATTCTCAATGCTTCTGATCCCTAGCTCAGACGGCGAGAGGGCTGCATTTTCTAGTGTCAGGGTCCCAGAGAGCCGGGAGGAGAAATTTCCTGTCATTGACACCATTGGCATTGTACTTGGACCCCGTGATGACGTCCTTCTTCAGCTCGCCGGGGTATCCACTGTAAGAGCCCACGCCGAAGGAACCGACGCAGGCAGTTCCAGCTTCGAGAGGAGCAGCAGCATCGCCCTGGTAGAAGGCATTGTTGAAGGGGTTGGTGGCAGTGCCGGCCAGCATGTAGGCGATGTGGACAATCATTCCGTCGACTCCGACATTTCCATTGGGAGGCAGTGGCATATCAGCTTGGGCGGGCATGTAAGGGGGCTGGGCGAAAGGCCAGGCGCACATTCCAGGGCACTGGTCTTTGGCATTTCCAACCCAAGCGTAAGGCAGCTGCAGCTCATTGGTGGACGAAGGGACAGTGGCGAAGTGAGAGGCGCAGGAGTTCATGCAGAAGCCCTCGACCTGCACATCTGCTGCCGTCATGACGAAGTACACTGCGTTCGGATCTGCCGGGAAGGCGGAGAGAGAGCTCTGCACGAGTTCCTCGAGGTTGGAATTGTTGAGGTTCTTGCCTAGAGAGTAAGTGTCGTTCCTCTCCCCGACAAGAGTGACGTACCGAGCAACCGAGGCACCGGTGGCATCCTTGAACCGGGTGGTCACATCCCACCATTTGGCAACATCGGTCACGGACCCATCAGCTGCAGGACTGAAGGAAGCGAAGAAATCTCTCACCGCCGCGGTGTCGGTCTCATTGAATTCCCCATACCAGATCACATACACTGGGAGAGTTCCATTGGAGCCCTCCATGACAGGCCCATTGTGATAATCGATAATAGTCTCCGGCGACTCGACCAGCCTGAGAAACCTGCGTGCCAGGAGACCCCCGTAGATCGTATTCTTCTCCACCGGGCCAATGCGAGCTCCATCAACAACGCTGGCGAGCAGGAACATCATCAGCAGCGCAGAGCATTTCACCTGTGTCAAGTCCATGACTGTCTACCTTTCCGAAACGCTTCGCAATCGACCACAATCGACCTGAGAGATCAATACAGATGAAAGACTCGAGATTTCAGACTCGGACACCGTCTCAACGACAGTTCTGGAGTGAAGTCGGAGAGTACTGTGAAGAAGATGAGAGGAGTTGGTAGAAAGTGAGCAGGAGATGCGAGAGTGGAGTCGAGCTGAGCTGAGCCGAGCAGAATTGAATAGAAGAGAGCAGCTGTGGAGAGTGTCTTCCGCTTGTTGCGGTTTGGGTTGAAGGAAGAGTGGCCCAGGCAGGAGTACATATAGTGCAGCGGGGATGGAGGGGATGGAAGGGATGGAAGAGGAGGAGGAGGTAGAGGGGGAGAGAAGCTGGCACGAAGATCCAGTAGGTGAAGGGCTGTTGTTGAGCTTGGGCTAGATGGCAGGCCAGGGCCATAATTAGGAACGGGAGCTGGCAACAGCCAGGAAGCGAGGGTCAGTGAGTGCCAGCGCAACCTTCACCTACACTACGCGCAAAACGAGTAGGGAAGCGAAGCTGGGTGCGCTGGGGGACGCGCTCGCTAATCAAACAGAAGGGGAGTGGACTGGAGTGGGAGCTGAGCTCGAACAAAAGCCAACCGAGTTTTGCTACGGCACCCTTCTAGAGGGCATTGTCCGCCATTGCCAGGACCAGCCGAGCCTTTCCAGGCCCCCTTTCCCCCCGTCGCCCCCCCTTCGTCCCTTCCCCCCGCCCCCCGCGTGTGACCGTTGCGTCATTGCCCCTTTCCCCCATCGGTAACTCCCGTTCCCGCGGCTCTTAACCTGGCATTGCCCCTGACCCAACCCTGGTCAGCAAACTCTGGTCCTCGACTCGTCCGGCCGGGTTTGAACCCCGGTTTGACGCCCCGGTTCCAGTCGGTCGGTCGCCGGTGACGCGGTATTGACTTTGGGTCCGAGTTCAGTCGTACGGAGGCGGGGAGGGGCGGAAAGGGAAGGGGAGGAAAGGAGAGGGAAGGGGAGGGATTTACTGCGGCGCCCGCGGTCGTCTTTTCCTGCCGGAGGGTAGGATAAAGTCCCAGCGAAGGAACGGAGGCGGAGGGAGGGAGGAGATTTAAGACGGGCGACTCGGGCAGGGGAACATAATCATAGTAGCGCAGATTTGTTCATTATTTGCGGACGTCTTCAGAGTCTCGGATGCATCTTGTGAGCCACAACACAAGGCCAGAAGTTATGGGGTGCGACGGAGGGGCGGCCCCGGCGAGACATGGCGCAGTACGGGGTTAGGTTTTTCAATCATGCGTCCCTGCCCTCTTAGACTATTAGGCCTCTCGCCCGAAGCTTTAATCATGCGGCTCGTGACAAGCCTTTTTACAGCTGTGGGCATTGACACTTGGAGTTTCTCATTGGGGCTTCTTTGAAGGTTTGGTCCGTATGGCCATGCCGTTGTGTTGTAATCGGCGACTACGAGAGCGAGTTGAAGCATCCCATAATCATAATGGTGTGAGTCAGTGGGTCATAAGTCAGTGCAGCAGTCCAAATCTCCAGCTTGCAACCTCAGACTCCGACGGAGGCCAAATTTTCCCCTACACCATATCCATCTCCCTCTCTCTCTCTCTCTCTCTCTGCTGTTCGGAAAGCTTGAGCCTCAAGTCAACAGCCTCGGCGATCACTCACTCGCACTTTAAAATTCCCTTCACTGCTGCTGCAGATACAAGTCAACAAGCTCATTAACTGCACCTCACCTACTCGCGGAGTGCCAGGTAAGTCACACCATGGAGGCCTTTACATCGCTTGACTTCTTCTACAAGATTTACTCCCTTTCCTTCCACCTTTCCTCGCCCTCCTCCCTCCATCCCTCCCTCCCTCCCTGGCAGCCTGTCACATGGTAAGAGTGAGAGGGAGTTCTCATGGGGCTTCTGCTCGAGAGTAGATTGGCGTTGCTGGGCGATTTCAGCTGGGTTCGATTTTCCCCAGCCGAGTTAAAGATGGTTCTGAAATGCCCGAAGAAGTTGGTCTGGGCCCTGCCTCGCTGGGCTTGTAATGAGATGGATTGATGCAGATATGTGGGAAAGATTTTATCTTGATCTCGTATTGGGTCACGAGCAGCTTTGTCATATCCCGTATCCCAACGTGATAGACTCACTTTTCTTTTCACGGTCATATATTATGTTTTCTTTCTACCTTTTGTGCCACATCTTTACGCCCGGACATGGGCAATTCTACTCTTGGCAGTAGTCACTGAGGCTGCATATTCCCAAATTCCTTCGTGCCTCTTTCGCCGTAGTTCACATGCCAAATCGTGCCTATTGATGGACTTGTAGATATCCCATGCGACTCTACTCTAAGCTCTGGGGCTATCGGTCATGAAACTTTACGATTCCAGTTTGCCATGTTTTGGAAACTCGAGTCAGCATCGCGGAGAGAGCTGGAACTTGGCCTTGCGCGCATGCTCATTTATTCTAGTCAATGCTTTTATTTGGTGACATGTAAAGTCTCAAGTCGAGGCAAGAGAGGTCTGGATTTCAAATGCATTATAATGGCCGGTTGATTCTTCCAGAGAAAAGCTGTCTTTCCACTGCCCGCTTGAAAAGCTCGTTTCGGACCGTGTCGAAGTTCTATGTTGATTATCAATATAAGAAATTCAAGTGGATCCTCGATTATTGATACGAAGGCTGCGAAGAAGCCCAGTGGCCAAGTTGATTCGCACAAGAAATTATTAATACTATTATCACTATGCATGAAAAGACATAATTGATATGCCAAATGCTCAGCTCCTGCATCGGCAACTTAAATACCGATTTCCTACAGGTAGACCGGAGTTGCAAAAGTCCTGCTGCTTATTTGAAAGCAGCTCACTTGCAATCTATGAAAGTTGTGTTCCAGGTTGCTGTGCTCTGGAAAGTTTGTTTCATCCGGCTGTTAAATACTTGATTTCCATGTTCTTTCACCTTTACTCTGCCAAAAGACAAAAGTTCTGTTATACAGTGCATCGTATTTTATTCATGCTGCCTCGGAGACTGCGATACTCGGGAATGGCGCTAGCCTGGAATATAATGTCCGTGCAACGAAATTTTGCCCGCAACGCAGACGTTTTACTTCACCTCCACCTTCACCATCACTGACTTTTCTCCGTCTCCTCACGGCAATGGCGACGGGTTCAGGAAGAAAAGTAAGTCCACTCGAAAGCAGGAGCTCGCTCCGAAAAGGCGAGAGCATATTTGGACGCGTCGAGAGGGCTTTCCACCGAATCCAGCGACGACTCTAATGTGCAATGTACAGAGCGCAAAGGAATGTGGTTCGAAAGTCAACGGGAGATCTTCGGCTGGTCTCTCACACTTTTCCAACTTACAGCAGCGAGCGGAGTTGTTCTGCTCGGTCGAAGCCGAATCCTCGATGGGAAACAACGAATGAATGGCGAATTGTTCGATGGATGGGTGCAGATGCGGTTAGAAAGTTCATGATGTTCGATCGAAAAGCCACCCTCCACATTGCAATGGTCTGGAAAGGTAACTCCAAGCGGACGGAGCGGACATACCTTTCTCATGATCTCAGCTGGGCCCCGAATGTGGAAAGGCCCATCCGCAGGTCATCGGGTGAGCCCGACTTAATTTAGAAAGCCCTCGTCCTTGCTGCCGGCCATCCTTTGGCTCTCCCTTGCAGCAGAGGAGCGAGGCCTCGACCACTGCAATTGCGAACGGCAATTGTTGAGCATCGAGAGAACCGCAAAGGTGGCGAGTTTCCATGCGGGTAATTTGGAGGTTCTCGGTACGAGCAGAGTTTGCTTCTGATTTCTGATTTTCTTTCCTCGAAATGTGAATGCTCAGAGAAACTCCAGATTGCTTTGAGCCCCGAAAGTAAGAAGTGATAGTCGATTACGGGAGCCTCTGACTTCCGCATCACCTTCAACTGGAAAGCCCTGTTCATCACTTCGCTTTTCGAGTGGTAGGCCCATCCATAGCTCCAGATCCGCTCGAGACGGTGGTCACGGCGCCCACTTCAGTCCAGAATCGGACAGGACGTGACCTCGACAGGTGATTTCTACGTGGGGCAAGGGACAGGTGTAACACGCGCATAAGCTCACACATTGTCGAGACTCGAGCGTCGGGGTTCTGGAAGATCGCGTCCGAGAGATGGGGAGATTTGGTGCCCGCAGTTGGGCAGGGAAATTTGGCTGTGTTCACGAAGTGTCGTGAATCTTCGCCTAATTCCGGAGGGGCGGACTGGCAGTCAAAGCACTCGTTAAAAAGCTACATTGCATCGCATCCCATCTCCCCATGCACCACCACACCGTTGAGGCCGACAGGAGTCATCTACTTCCTCCCGCAGGCTCATCTCTAACTAAAATGGCGGGCCCCCGCGGCTGGAGACACAGGCCAGCTTTTGGGCTCGCACTGCCCTTCGGCGTGGGGCGTGGGTCCTTGTCCCTCTCTTACAAAAATCCCGATTCCCCCCAGGAAGCCGAAATTCACCATTCATACATTCCTGTACGAGATTTGTGGACGGCGGCACCTCGCCACACGTAGGCTTCACAACTGCCACTCGATGCTCCTCATCTGGTTTCGCGCGACGTGTTCCTCTGAGACCTCGACCCATCGATTGGCTGCCAATTGAAAGCGCTTTCATCTATTATTTAATTTTTCTGGAGGTTATTATTTTTGTTTATAGGAAAGAATTTGCTGTCGCTGACCGAGTGGTCTGCATCTGCAAGTGAAAGTCCGAGTGAACGACAGACAACCCTCAGCATGACAAAAAGACAGGATGCCACGGACAACATGTCGAGCCAACTCTCAAAGAGGAATGTACTGTACTCTCGAGTTTCGACGCGTTCAACAACCGTTCCAAAAGACGAGAGTAAGGAAGAAACAACTCGCTCGTTTTTTATGAAGAAGTCGAGTCAGCAGATGGATCGTACTGTCAACAAGATAAGCCAGCCTCATTTCTGCCCACTTCACAAGCAATGCGATGACAGCCTTATAATTTAGCAAACGCTCTTTTAATTTGGAGAACGCACACACACCAAAGAAGAAGATGGACAACAAAAGTTTTACAAGTGTATTCTAAGCAATCTCAACAAATTCTCGATCGGACTGTGAAATAACCCCTTCTGAAATGCAACAAGATGATTCGTTTGGCATGCTGTAGAACTGGTGGCCCTCGCAGGCTTTGAGACCCAAACACAGATACTGTACCTAAGATGAAGCTCCATCGTGGACTTATCCGCAGAACGTGCAGGTCTAACCGACAAAGTGGGAGTGGTCCAGTGTCGTCAAAGCTCGACCTCATTCCATGCACCACTTCGCAGAGGATGGAAAGAGTTCCCAAAAGATGTTCAATGTTCCAACCACAGGAGGAGGCACAGGAGACGGAGGGCTCTCACACGAGACTCGAACCTCAGAAGCGAAGGATGGGTGTGTAAAATATCCACTCACGTGACCGAAACCAGCACTATTGTCCGACTCTGGAGCCAGCACATCGCATGAATGGATGGCCTCTCGCCACCGCTGCTTCCCCAGTTCCTTCCTTCGTTTGTTTGTTCCTGTCGCTGCTGGACAGTTCCTGATTCCGCCATATCTCCCGTTATAGAACGAACCAGGCTCCACGAGCTACATTCATAGTATTGACCCTGCTTCCATACAATCGATGCGCCGCCACCACCACCCTTCGTCTCACGGAGCCACCGAGTCTCGCAGTCGACCACGATCGTCGCCGGCTGCCATAATTGCCACCACTAAGCCCTCGACTGCCTGAAATGCGGTCACCGGCTCGACCGGTCAGTATCTAGTCGTGGGGCAAAGGATCCAGGCACCTGTCGATCCACTCGACTTGTCGCCACGCGAGCCTGCAGGTACTGACTGGCCCAAGAGCAATCATGCGCTTTATTGCCGCCTGTCCGATGGAGGAACTACGTACGTATGTACTTACGTAGTTAGTATTTCGTAGTTCGTAGTACGTGCACCGAGTGGGCGACCATGTGTCGCGGTGGCAGTGCGAGTGGCTCATCCCTTACCCCCGGGGGGCTAAGGAATGAGGAGGAGCTAAGCCCCATCGTTCTAGAACGTCGACATCTAGAGGTCGGATTTAGCGACCAGGTGGCTCTGAACGATCGAATCATGTCTGAGACCGAGGGTGGTCGTGATTTTAGCCCTGCAGAGATGCGATACGTGATGTGATAGCTCCCTCCGTCTTCGCTGGAGGCCCGAGGTTGCACCCCCGGGCCAAATGTGCTCATGGATCTCCGGTACAGACAGCCCCTGTCACGACCTGATGGCGCTCTGAGTTTGTGGGCTCGGCTGTTTCCGGTCCTTCAGGAGAATGGTGACATCTGGGCTCGAGCTCGATTCCTCTAAACGCGAGGGCAGGAGATCAGAAAGATCTAATGCTCGCTGCTGCTCTCGGATAGCTTCCAGACCAAGCGGACACGTACTGTGACGTGATCGGAGTGACGGTCGGACGACAAACGTGTTAGCAACAACACATCCATGGTAGCGGAAACGAGTGGAGAGTTCGAATGTGGAGGTCAGGTGAAAGAGTGAGGACGCCTCCAACTACCCGAGAGACAACACCTGGATCGAATGGGAGAGGGATGGGGTTGGAGGTGACAATGGTCGATTGTAATGAGAGAATCTGGACCTCGAAGGACGCAGTACAGTCGTGATAATTCGAGTCAGTGCAATCAAGCAGTCCCATGTGAGAGAGCGTATTCTCTCGACGTGTGAATGGAAGATTTTGAAGATATTTGGCACACAAGGCATGGAAGTCCGACCTCCATTGGTGGGGGACGCCAAGATTCCATCCTTTTCCCATGTGTCACCATCCTTCAAAAGTCTAGCAATCAATCACCCAAGGAGATGATGATTTCCGAGCTCTCCAGAATCCAGCTCGAGGATCAGTCCGCCATATCCAGCCATGTAGCTAAGGAGTAAAGACGCGGCTAATTGCTCCATCTATAGGGCTCTAACTAGTAGCCACGAGCTTCCCCCTTCGCTACAAAATCAGTTTTGACCCATTTGGGCGTCAGGTCCTCCTCCATCTGTCTGAGCTGTTTCGAAGTACGGTGCATCACATTCTTCCCAATCCCAATCGCAATCGTTAGCCGGCTGTTCGATGTCAACATTTCTAAAATTTTCAGGACACTTACTAATAAGTCTATTGAAGAACTACTACTCTTCTCGAAATGAATTCTTTACGTGCGATATGCCTAAACTAAGTCTGCTCCTTACATAAAAATCCGCTGATTTGGATAAATATTTTTTTGAATTCTTATGTTGTATAAATATTCTTGCATAAAAATTAGCATGTTTATAAACTTTACTTTAGTTTACAACTTTTACTTTGGCACATGGTTCAAATTTTATCTAGTGTTCACCCGATTATAAAAGAAGACAGTCAGGATGTAATATCAACTACGCTCTTCGGCTTGATTAATTCCGCTTTCCCTCATACAGTCCATAAAATCATATTCGGTTTAGAGAAAGTAGGGATTCCAAGATAATGTAATGACCAGCCTATTTTCTTTTTTAATAAATATTTTTACAATAATCCCTCGCGAAGCTCTTTAAGCCATAACCTATACGATAAGAATGTACCTTGTGACATTGATTTGGCAACATTTCATCAGATATATAATTTGTATGTAAGAAAGTTTTATATATAAATAAATATATAAATTAATGAATATATATATATATATCATTGACTGCTATAGACCATGCTTATAACTTGGGGAATTCCTTCTTTAATTCACTTGATCTTATGTTACAACATCGAATATTCTACGGAGGTTTGTATAATTCAGACTTCTTTTGGTATAAATCGAAAACAATCACACTTATATAGATACAGGTTTTACGCATGAACATTTTTTTATTCATTGAGTCTTAATGAATGAGACATATACTTCAGTTATTAACAGTATGATAATGGTTCTTCCAAGAGATATTCTACTGCCATGGTCCAGATCCGTGCAGTCCATATACATTTGGATTTATCGCTTATCGAAAGTGGAGAGTGTAACCACCTTGCAATATGGAAGGGCATACCCATAAAACACGACATTTTCAATCTTGTTAGAGTTTTCTCTTCTTCTTCATCTTTAGAACTGTGATCTCACAAGTGTTTAGGAAATAAATTTCAACGCTGAATATCTTCTGTGCAGCAATACAATCGGGCAAAACTACTTTTTGCTCGCCGAGCTCCACATTACTTTGTTGGAGGCTCAGTACTCCAACGTCGTGAGGCTCCTTGGATTGCCATCAGAAAGAAAAAAGGAAAGAAATGCCTGAGAAATTTGAAACATTCTTCTCTTGTGCTTATTCACTCACTCGATATCTACATTCGTGTTCGCGTCATCAATACCATAAATCGATGGAAGCTGGTGAAAAACGTCTAGTGCTTACACTGCAGTCCTCGTCGCAACTTTGCTCTAATTCAATTTAACCTCGAAACTTACTGCAGCCTCACTTTCAACTTTATTGCGAAATGAAACCCCTTGGGTCTTTCTATACTTTGGCAAGGTGTAGACGATAGGGATCTTGTGTACTTCACCGTGCTTCCTTCTCCAGTGCACTTTTTCACCGATTAAAAATTTTGCTTCGTTGTATATAAATTTCACAGCCTCACTTAGAAATTGAACTTATTGCATTGAAAGTAGTGAGGAGGTTACTGTTGAGCAAAACCAGAACTGCCACCACCAAAAAATCTGGATGTGCCCCATCAGTTGAATCAAAAGCCAGCCAGCCAGCCAGCCGACCAGCCAGCCAGTCAGGAGTGAAATCTATAACAGGAAAATCGGTGGTGAAGAAGGGCGAGGGCTGAAGAAGTGCGTTCGTCACAGCAAGCAACTCGAAGAACGAGGGAGAGAGAAAGAGAGGCATGGATAAGTTTGATGAGATAAAGCTCAAGGATGCAAACGAGTGAGAGAGCAGCTGGGCGTTCGAACATCGAGAGAAAACAGAGATTAGTGCTACAGAAATCAGCTCTCATTTGCGGTTAATTTCTGACCTGCAAACAGCTGAGCCCAAACAAAAGCGCAGATATACATGGCACGGACGACGAGTCACCATGGACTCCTGTGAATCTGCCAAAAGCGAACGCCCAGCAACAGCTTTTACCAAGAATTTCGAGGACGGTGGCGAGCGGGAAAAAAACGTGAAAGAGTCGACGAGAGCTGAAGGAAGGCGGTGGAGCCCAAGGTGGAACTCGAGACAACGCAAGAGTCCACTCACTGCCCAAGTCAAGGGCTGGGAGGGACCGAGCTGACCGCAGATGCTGTGGAACGGATATGCCTGCGAGGCCATGGTTGTGTAAAATACACAACCATTCGCAAAGGCACGAACGAGAGTGGAGAGTGGAGAGTGAACGCAGATAAGATTCTCGAACGAAAAGGAGGAGAGTTCAAATGGATCGAGATGGAGACTTTCTCCGCTGCATCACTGTACCGTGGAAAGAGCTCATTAAGGCCAAAAAGGTGATGTATGGAGTTCCATCAGGCCGAGGTGGACAATGAGTGTCCAGCAGCTCGAAGGAAATCTCGGGGAGAGCGAAAGAAAGGACTGCAGAGAGAGAGAGAGAGAGGCATTTGGACTGGAGCTGGCTGGCTGGCTTGTGGATCCCGCAGCTGGAAACAGGGGAGGCCTTTCAAATGGCCGGTATTCTCGTCTCCGCCGTTCGCCTCGAACCGTTTTGCACCGCGAACATTATTGTGGACGTCGTAATTGATTACTCGAGCAAAGCCAGCCTTGCCTGCTCGCTGTACCCAGTCGACCGACGTAATCAGTCTACTTGGCTTCGCTCATGGCTATTATGGCATCCTTCAAATTTAGAGCTCGACTGTACAGCACTACACAGCATGGCGTCTTTCCTCCTCCTCGACCTCCTCGACCGCACAAAATAAAATTAGAAAACTGTACATGCGTACAAAGATCTGAATTCGGTTCACCCTATACCGTAGGGCTCCTCGCAGCCCCTTCGACCTGCTGCCGACTATATTACTCGGCTCCCCCTTCTTGGCTCCGCCCCCCTTTTCGTCAACCCCGGGCTGTGTCCGGATGGATGGATAGCCATGGCAACAGTGATTCGCATTCCCCCACAAAGTGATGATTAGAGATTCTTGCTTACTGCCAGACGCTATGCCACCACTCTAATAAAAGGATGCGCAAACAAATTCCTTGCGTGCATGGTTTTATTTGATCGCTTATTCTATTCCCGATGATCGTCTGCGACACATGGAATCGAGCAGCAGACCGGGCAATAATGCCGCCGAGCGATCCTCATTCGATTTGGTTGATTCTGTGGCTCCCTCGAGCATCCATAGCCAGATTTTGGTGCTCGAAGGGGAAAATCATCGTCAGATGATCTACGCCACTCAGCTCCAGCCGGTGAGCGTCCGACGGAAGAGGACAATGTTACCTACAGGGCCATGGTTAGCCGAGACGATTATTTATTATAGATCTCATCCGAGAATAATATTAAATCTGTCCGAATCAGAAGTCTGAAATACGTAAGATCGGAACATATAAGGTTGTTGGAATTAGCGGCAATCTTGTCAGGAAAATTGGTGGTTTTAACATCTCTCTCTCCTTTTTTATAGACCTGTTCAGACACCAGTGACACAAGTGAGCGACGTGGTTCTGTATATTGACGATGATGATACCAAGGGAGGAAACTGCACACGAGGGTGAAACATAAGCTGAACCTCATGTTCTTCTGAAACCATTAAGGATGTAAATTAATAAAGGGTGATATTTCATCGATAATCAGCCTAGACTTCGTTCCATATCTGGCTCAGGCACCGGCAAGGTGGAGCCAATTTGGGTGCCGTGGAGATGTGTGGAGGAAGTGCTCGCTCTATATACGAGAATGGCTCGTATAGAGCAAGCATCGTGTAGAATGCCTTCTCCTCATACAAATGTGTGGTCCTATGAAATCGGTGGTCCACCTCGCAACGCAGGAAAGAGAGAATTCAAAACAAGAATCATGGCCAGTGAGACGCTCGACGATCAGATCAGGCATTCGTTATGTCATTAAAGGGGAGATTAAATGTACAGAATACTTCACTGCACTGCATGCAAACGAAGCGCAGGGTGTTTGGGGGCAGTACCGTTGCGAGGGAGCGGCAATTAGGAAAGCCAGTTGTACATTTGTACAGTACAAGACATCGCTCCACCGAAAGCGTGTGGGCACTGTTTTTGGACAGAGTGGCGGAGGGAGGGAGGCCCCAGTACAGACATGGCGCAGTGATCTTTTCGGCGGGTGCGTTTCTTTCGAACCAATTATTCGTGCAAACGAACACCAACACACCCAGGCCCCGGCCAGCAGCAGCAGGGTTCAGCAGGAGGAGCAGGAGGATGGAGTAACCGACCGGGGCTGGAACTCGGAAACAGGACATCGCTCGATCCATAGTCGGTACGCGAGTCATGACTGGCTGTGTCCGAGGACGGGAGTCGGCACCCGAACTAACGTGCTGCTGCTGCTGCTGCTGGGGCAGGAGACGGACATTGGGCATCGATGAGGAAGAGGGGGGCAAGTGCCACAAGCTTCAGCTGATCATGAATGATTTCGGCCCCCGCCTTTCTTCGTTCCATCTGTCGCCCGCTGCTCCCATTTGTCCACGGCACGGAGGGACGTTGGGAGCGAGCGAGGATGGTCAGGGAACGTCACTCTTTGTTGATGGCGGGACGTACTAACGTAGCAGACATCGTTTGCAGGCACAGGAAGCTTCTTGTCCAACACCAGGACCAGCGACGAGGGAGGGGGGTGGGGGTGGGGGTGTAGGGGAGGGGGTGGGGCTGGGGCTGGAGGGACGGGGTAGGGGGTAGGGGGTAGGGGGGAGCGAAGAAGGGGAGGGACTTAGGCCCAACCTTGGGTTCCATCTAACCTCAACCGGAGCAGTAGAGTAACTCGAGAAGCTCCTACACGCCGGTCCGACGACCCCCACCCCCGCCCTCTACCCCTACCCCTCCCCCACCCCCCTCCTTCGGCCTAGCCCGACAGCGAGAGGGCCTCAAGGGGGGCCAGGAATGGGAATGGGATCTTCTCGCGGACAAACGAGAACTTTTCACAGATGCTCGCGCGCGGGCGAGCGAGCGAGCGAGAGTAGGGCATGTGCGAAACCCTCGATCGGAGATCGATAAGGAAATAACTCGGTGGATGTGGATTTGCAAAGATCTGCAGTAGGGTCTCCCCCAGGGCCCAGCGTCCGTCCCATGTGTAACCATGACGCCCGGGGGGAGGGGGGGGGGGGGCTGCAGTTCCTTAAAGCTTCCGGCACATTTTCCACGTGAGGCCCTCGATCCAGACTCGCGAGTCGACGCCGTTACCCCACCCCCAACCCCCCGGCAGGCCGTCGTCAGGACCGTCGCTCTCCGGCTCTCGCTCGGCGGGGAGCGAGCAAAGGTTTGCTTCCGATGCATCGAGCTGGCATTGCGGCGCCTCGGTGAACCAATCAGGCCAGTTACCCCAGCCACCCAATGGGCTTCGTCTCGCAGCCGCTGCCCCTGCTGCTGCTGGTGGCTGGCTGGCTGGCCGGCTGGCTGCTGGATTACCTGCTCGCTGCGTTACGAGTGCCAGCTCCTGGTAACTTTGCCCCGCCATGACAACTCATACTTCCCGTTTCCCTCTTCGCACTCCTCTGGGAGGTTTTGTTTTGCTCGCTTCTTCCGCTTCTTCCTCCTCGCGTGCCTGCCTGCCTGTCTGGCAGGCCCGCCCTCTGTCTGAGCGAAGCCGTTGTGGAGCCCCCCCTCCAGCGCACGCACCAGACCACAAACGGACGGAGAAGGCGGACGAGACCTCGCTCTCCGGCGTCGGCACCCGCGACCCGACAGCGGAGCATGTATTTCCCCCACCCCCGAGCCCCGCCGCTGCGCTACGTGGCGACCCCCAGCCCCCAGCCCCACGGTCTCTTCGTGGAATACGCTCCGTTGTCCGTAGCGTAGCCCCCTTCCCCGCCCTCTTCCCTCTCCCCCTGCCCCCTGCCCCCTGCCCCCCTCCCTCGTCACTTTTCCTTTTCTGTCTTGTCTTGCAAGCTAGACCCGAGCGACGAAGCGAGCGGAAGCGTAGTGGTTACCGCTTGCCGGCTGGCGCGAAGCTGGAGCATCTAACGACCAGCTGCTCGCAGACCTCGCGCGGTAAGCGAGCGAGCGTGAAGCTTAACTCTTTCACTCGCTTGCAGCCAACCTCGCTATCCAACCGCTCATGAGCCAGCTTTCACACGCTGGACCTTTGAGCCAGCTTCACTTCCCCTCTCGTCTTTCATCCTACTATATAAGCCTCTCGCCCCCACTCCGTATTCCTCACCACCATCTCTGCATCCAACAGCACCTCAGCTGCTGATCAATCTCTCTCTCTCACTTTCTCTCTCTCTTCCCAAACACAGACCCACTCAGTCTGCGGATAAATATACAATCTCTTCAACTTGAGAAGACAGACATTTTCTGTAGCGGAACAGGCTTCTCAATTCACAGGTTCTCAGGGCTGATTGCGGTTCGACGAGCTGTGCCTCTTGCAGTGAGTTTCGTGACATCGCAGCATTTCATTGCGGATTACAGAATGGCGTACACGAAGCAAGCCACGCAGATGAAATGTGCCGCACTTCTCCTTTTGTTTAGCGTTGCGAGCGTCATCGATGGCGCTCGGGTCCTTCGTCCGGAGCCCAGCAAGGAGGTCGGGGGTCTTTTAGCTCGCAGGTATCTCAGGTTGGTCGAGACGGAAACCATTCTTGACTACCACAACGGGCCAGTGCTGTCAGGGACTGATGGAAAGCTGTCGGCTTACGTGATCTGGTATGGGGATTTCAATGAGACGGACAAGGCGACGGTTCGGGATTTCTTCGCCTCGTTCCAGGTCGAGAATGGCACCGTGACGGATGTGTCCAGATGGTGGAACATGACTTACGGCTTCAAGGATGCGACCGGCGCTAGCGTTCCCAACGATGTGATGCTCATGGGCGAGACGAACAACACTTACTCGAAGGGCAAGAATCTGAACAACACGCACATCGAGGAAATCATGCTGGACTCGCTCTCCGTGTTCCCGGCCGACCCGAACGCCGTCTACTTCGTCCTCACAGCCGCAGATGTCGAAGTGGAGGATTTCTGCATGAACTCGTGCTCGTCTCACTTCGCCTCCTCTCCTGCAGCCGCCAATGGCTTGCAGCTGCCATACGCTTGGGTCGGCAATGCCAAGGACCAATGCCCTGGAATGTGCGCCTGGCCCTTCGCCCAGCCCTCGTACATGCCTGCCCAGGCCAACCTTCCCCTGCCTCCGAATGGCGATGTCGGAGTCGACGGCATGCTCATCCAAGTCGCGTACATGCTCGCCGGCACCGCCACCAACCCCTTCAACAATGCCTTCTACCAGGGAGATGCTGCTGCGCCTCTGGAAGCCGGCACTGCCTGCGTCGGCTCTTTCGGTGTCGGATCCTACAGCGGGTACCCCGGCGAGCTCAAGAAGGATGTGATCACAGGGTCCGAGTATAATGCCGAGGGAGTCAATGACAGGAAGTTCTTGCTGCCTGCTCTGTGGGACCCGAACACGAGAAAGTGTACACCCCTCGGCGTTTGAAGTGTCCTCCATCTGCATCGAGAGCAGGAGGGCGTACGAGTTTGCCAGCTACTGTACACATTATTTTTGTAGGTCTTTCTAGATTCGAGTTGGACTGTAAATATCGGGATCTTCGTCAGGTGGTAGGAGGTAGAGTAGACCGCGAGATAAGCTTCTCATAGCGTACGCATCGACACATTGGTCGGTTACTGTCTTATACATTCATTCTTTATTATCGGAGGTGCAGAAATTGCTGCCATCCTTGCCATACTCCTTGTTCCAACACTCTCTCGTGGTTCCCGTGGGAGATTGCTTTCGATCTGATTGTCTGCGCCTTCATCTCGTCTCTACGTCTATTTTGTTGTACAATCTCATCCGACGCCTCTTCGCTGCTGGCACACGAGCCAAGCTAGAGTTGCTGCTGACAGGTATAGTGGGAAATTCTGTACGATTGTCGAAACACCCTCCTCGCGTACCAGGCTTGACTCACTGGTGGAGTGTGGAACGTAAGCAAGAATTCCGGTAAGGAGGTGAGGAAGACTTGACCTTGTATGCAACTTATGACGGACTTCGTTTGAAACGGGCAACTCACAATTCTGCAGCTTGCACACGACTCAAGGAATCTTCGCCAACCTCCAGCCTCCGGTGTTGTATTGTCTGCTACTAACTTTCCCGTCCGTCTTTTCAGTCATAAACATGATAAACATGGTTTTTATTAGAGCGGAGGTACCGAGCAAAACCAACTCTGCTGGCATAACTTTTAGTAAGATGAAATGTGAGAAAGTTGGACTCAATTCGTGTCATTCATCCAGCTTTCAGTTGTGTGAATTCCCAGTTGCATCTCCGTACTCCTCACTAATCTAATGTCTCCCGAGTGAGTGCAGGTCTGCGATGTGCACTTCAATACTGCGCTTGACTGAAATTGACCTGCCAGTCGTCGCCTTGGAGGAAGCGAATTTCCCAACCTGTGAGTTGATTATTCAATTCTCTGAAAATGTACTCATGTACTGGTCTCACAAGTCAGTTCGTCCATGAGGTTGCTATCATAAAAGATCGGCTGTCCTTGGTTCTCCTTCACTGAAGTCAAATTGCCGAAGTGGTTGATACATGTTAGAATTTGAAGGATGGCATTCGATAAACATTAGAGCAGGTTGTAGTCGAATTTTGCTGGCATCCTTTTTCTACCATCGCAACAGCTGGTGTACTGGACTTTGCAAGGAATCCGCACTGGAGCCATGGAGAACAGACTTAAGAGATCTATACATATACAGAAACAGCATATGGCAAGCTCCGTCTAAGTCATAAAGCTGTTCCGGGAGAGCAAATTAAACTGATAATAGTATCTGTGCACCTGTCTGTTTTGCTGTCATCTTGGAATGCATAACTAAAAGTAAAGCTCCCCAAGCTACTGCAGCCTTTGCTCATGTATTAGCGTTGCTCTGTTCGACGTGGAATGTGTCGGAAATATTGTTGGGATAGAACGGTGTCATCTACATGTAGGAAATGTGGCCTTCATCGGAATCTGAGCTGGAGGTGACAGAGGAAGGCATGCACTTTCAATGCGTTCAGTTTCGAATTAAAACTTTCTTGGGATGCGTACATGGCTAACGCCATGAGAAAGTGTTGACATTGATAGTCCTTCAAGTACTTTTGTCCATAGCAACTGAACTTGATCAGAGGTTCGTCGGTTTAATAGAACGATCTTTGCGAAGCTCGTTCTACACAGTGAATAGAGACTTGAAAGTAGCTAAACGACTCGACTGAGCAGTTATAGCATGCTCATAGAGAGATTTGCAACCGTGATTAACAACATATCTGTATCATTACAGGTAAACCCCCTATATCCGAGGAATGCTTTAAGTTTATCTAAATTTTAGTCTCATTGTAGACGGTAATCCTCTCTATAATCATAACTCACACAAGTTAATCGAAGAAATATGATGAAATAAGAAAGAAGATTGGAACGTTCTCTGTTTCGATCATATATTCAAAAGAATAAAATATGTTCTGCTGTTTTGATCGAAAATATAATAACGATTATTCAAACTGTCTCACTTACATATGTTTCGGTTGATTCGTTTGTGTAATAAATTGTGTTATAAACTGGTAGTTGTGTGCGTCACTACCAGGTAACATTGAAGGCACAGTTTGCTTTACATAATATCCAACACAATGAAACACAATCTAACCGTCTTTCTTTATATATTGTGAGGTTTAATAATACAAGCCGTATGCCCAAAGGATTGATCCTTTAGCCTAGGCTGAAGTGCACTAGTTTGTGTTCTCTACTACACCACAAATTATATTGGTCGAGAGGAAAATAGATAGAATGTAAAATTGGTCGAAGGTCGAATTACAATACTGAGGATCAAGAATATCTTGGTAATAAATACACAATAAAGTCGGCTGAAGAAAACACTATACACATCGAAAATATGTTTCTTCTCTCACTAATATGTCTAAGTACAGAATATTGTTTGAATATCTCCACAGCCAAGGTAACTCTTGAACATAATTTTTCGTCTGTACTGCTAACCAGCGATGTAGATTTAGAAGAAGTTATTCTTGAACTGGATTATAGTAGCACACAAATTTATCCTCATTACGGTAGCCTGCTGAGTCTAGTTGGGCGCCTAAATTAGCTAAATTAGATTAATTTAGTAGCACCAGGATACCTTAGTTTAGGCTGTGTGTAAATGTGAACTTTACCAAACATTTAGAGTCCATAAAATGGAGCCATGTGTAGTTAAATCTTTCGTTTAATCTGTACCAAGCCTTTATTCAGGTTATCAATCACCCTGTTTTGAAGTCCTTCTCTGATTTTCCCCTCCTCTTCAATATTACAATGCTATTCTCCAGAACTGACAGTGACCCAATATGATTTTCGTGATCATCAACAATCCACCACCACCACTACGAAAGAATTCTTATTTGTCATCCGAAGAAATCTTACCTATGATTGAACCATTCAGGTAATCTCTATAAAATCCAGCACCCTTATATATCTAAATCCACCATCTAGGACATGTCTTTGAATCTTAGCAATAATCCTCCAGGAACAGTTTCTATGTAAGTTCTTAATGTGTAAACTTAGTTACCATCAAGGATTCACCTGCTCTTTTTCAGAATAATTTCATCAGCATGCTTCATATTCAGAGGGAAGTCATTTGCAAAATTAGAAGCAATAGACTATCTCCCACTCCTATCGATAACCACCCACGCATAAGTGATCGATCACAACTATCCAAATCTACTTCATATAAAGTTAGAGTCTTCTCTACCAACAAAGTAATGATGTGACTAAGATGGGAGACACAGAATATGCTTGATCTTGCCCATCATAGTCTTGAGCATGAAATTACAATAGTTAGCAACTTTACAACGAAGAGGTATAAAAAAAACGTCAGGAAATGCGTGCTCAATAATAGCCAGCCGAAGTTGATATATGACTAATTCATTGATTCTCTTATAAATCGATCTACTGCATGACTCACATGAAATAAAAATTCTAAAATTGTTTTGACTATGAAAGTAAAGCATTTTACAATGTGTTACTAATATACTATTTCACATCATGTTTTTGAAAAATTTGAAGTAAATATGATTAATGTACTTTTCTTGACTCCATGGTATTAATCTCTCTTCCATTATCTAGAATAATCGAAGCTGTTTACTCTTGTAGACCTCTAAACTTGTATATACCAGACATAAGTTTATAAATAAATGGGCAGAGGAATATCTAATCTTACTTATTCTCACACACCAACACACTGGTATGCCATCATGCGTCAAATGACTTTCCTGAGACATGCGCAAATTACGCGATTTGCATGTGCAAGGAGGAATTTCTAACATAAGGTTTCTACGTTAGTTTTAAAGTTAAGTTAGCCTCTAAGTTAAAGTATACGAGATGATTAAAAAAAAGTTGATGGAGCTCATGCACAATGTGATAAAGTGTTTTATTAAGTTTCGCATTTGGCAACGAAAATTATATTAATAGGCGGATGGGTACATACTTCTTAGTAGGTGTATCCAGCCAAACAACCGCATGGGTTTTGCATTAATACAAGAAGTAAGAAGGCGAGGAGTATCTACAAAGTGTAATAGTTGTCTTTGAACAATTCTTGTCTATTGGTCATGTCGTGGCATAATGTTGTCTATTTTCAAGTTTATTTATTGACCTTTGAGTTTGTGTTTTAAGGTCTGAGATCCTAGTTGTGTGAGTTTTCGTAGAGTTTGCATACTTTGACAATAAATATATCAAACATGCAGTTGAATCAAACTGACTTAGCACAAGCCTCTCAAATTGTCTCACGATCAGAGCTACAGGCACTTAATATAAAATTGTCATCGACAAACTCAAGTTTAGTAGTACCACAACATGGAAAGATCAATTGATAATATTCAGACTAAAAAACTCAAATTCGGCACATTCATTTTGCTAAATTTTCTAAATTTGAGGTTGATCCACTAGCTGGAGCTAATAAAACGGGAATTCCATATATTCCTGTTTTTTTAAAATAATAATCCTCGAGCTAGGTTTTACAAATCTTGGTTGGCATGCTGTTCATATGTCCTCGTTAATTTTTTCTTAATTCAAAAATAAAATAAAAGTAATTCATAGTTTTTTCAACCTATTTATATACCTTTTATGTTACATGGTCATTTCCTCGTCATAGAGGTTTTATGTCATAGTTGCCAATACGTATTCCTCACATCGGGTCAATAATATAAATAAGTTACTTTTAATGGTGCATTTGCCGTGCTCTTAGAAGATTAGAAGCAAGAATATATCTTTTGCATTGGGGTTATAGTTTATGTGCTCCATTTAATTATGTCTTCTGAGGGCATGATATTTTTAATTTTTTACGTTGTAAGTTTATTTCCCATATTGTAATAACCCACCAAAGGCTAAAACTGCAGTATGGTGGTAAAAAGATCGAACCCACAGGGACAGAGGCAACACACAGAGTAAAAGTGTCACGTTTAACAGACTTTTGTAGAGTTTGAATTCTAGGCGACTGTCACTCCCAGAAATACTGCAGTGCTCGACTCGGAGGCTCGACTCGGAGGAGGATCTCGACTCGGAGGATGCTCGGAGGATGCACGGTACAGCGTGGTCACTCAACACACACACACACACACACACACACCTGAAACTGGCAAAAGCACAACTCGGAGGTCGGTCAGGACCTCCGCTTCGGATTTCAGGAGGAAAGTGTCTCAAAAGTTCACTCAGAGGTTCTGCAGGTAGTGACTCCCACTCCGGCTTTTACTGCCCTTCCGCCAGGAACTAGAGTAGGGTACCCGGACTGGACTTCCCACTTCGGAACGAAGCCTCTTCATACGCCGTGGACGTCACCCTCGACTCTCACACCAAACGCAGGGAGTGCAGACCCGACTGAGAACTTAACTGAGACACGATCCAGTAACACACGTACACAACCTGAATTGCAAACCAAGGCTTACACGAAGTAATAAAACTTCACTTTGGCATTCAGGGGAAACTTCCAGTAGGAGTACAATCAGGATATGTCACTCGAAGGAGTAAGGGGAACTGTTCAAGTCTCTAACTCGCAGCCGGCTCTGAGCATCAGAAATCACCCGCATGTGCAGATCCGCACTACTCAAGTCTTTAACCGGGTGCTAGCTCTGAACATTCAGCCGAAGGCCTTCAACTACAACATACGGTAACTTCGCTATGCTGCAGCTTCTCTACGTGGTGCCAGGACCAAATGCACAAACACGCCAAGAAAGTGAGTTCCTGATCTGCACTTCCGAAACTGGAAGAGTCCCAAGGCAAAACGCCTTGAACTACTTTATACCCTCAAAGGTCCTAACTAACACTACGCTATGCTATCTACTTCTCGCAATATCTGCGCGAAACCAAACTATACTACTGCACTCGGCGGATCCGGTGCTGCGCCTCCTGCGCGCCGGACTGCTCCGCTTGCTATCTCTACCTTGCCAGTCTTCCGACCGGCTGCGCAACCCCAGGCGTCGGAGGGCTGCAGTGACTTCCGACTCTAAGTGCGCCATAGTGTCGCGCGCACCCGACAAGAAGGTTTCTAATTTCCTCGCTACTCGCCGCCGACTCCGACTGTCACCCTCCGTCAAAGCCGCCGCCCGAAGCTCGAACTCCCTGAGTGCGATCCTCTCTTGAACTGCCACCTCCCAATGGGCGTATCCTTTTAGACAGTGAGTCACCCGCGTCGCCAACTCTTCTCGCGCCCGACAGCTGCCTTCCACCTCTGCTAGCTGCATTTCCGCTTCTGCACGCTGCGCCCTCAAATCCGAGCACTCGGATTGCAAATTGCGCAACAACTCCTCATCCTCCTTGCGGGCTCTTTGACTTTCTTCCAAGGCGCGCGTCTGGCGCGCAAGCTCTGCTGCTAGGATGCGGTTTTGTCTCCGCTCTTCCTACAATTCTGACTCGATCTTTGCCCGCATTAGCTCGGCCTCCGCCTTGCTTTTCGTCGCCGCATCCTCCCTCTGCTGCTGCAAGGCTTGGTATAGCTTCTGTGTGACCGCCAGGTGTTGTCGGAGGGCGGTGTTCCTTTCCACATATACTTGGCACCTAGAGTCCCAAGTGGCCACCTTGCTCCTCGTCCAGCGCTTGACAGTCTCCACATAAGACTGTGGTTTTCCAGTACCCGAGTACTTGGATGTCTTGCGATCCAGATATCGCAGGAGAGGGACTATCTGCTCGCACAACACCCCTGTTGGCGTTTTCTGCACAGAGTCCGCTTCCTGCTCTTCCGAGCTCGTCTCATCCTCAGTCTCGAGGATTTCAGTCGCCACCGAATCCCTTGGCGACTCCCTGGAACTGTGGCGCGCAGCAGCTTCCGCTGCGACTGCCACACCACTGCCTGCTAAAATATCCAGGGCAGTGGGGGATCCCACTGCTTGAGCCCCTGTTCCGGCTCGATCTTCGGTCTCCGAAGGGGTCGACGCCGCAGTGACTCTTGTCACCCTTGCACCGCCCGCTTCTGCTGCCTGCCCTTCCGGCGCAATCTGCGCGG